CGTCGTTTTAAATCGTCATTGCGGTTCGTGCGCTCGAAGGAGGTACTCGCGGACAGTGCAGTGCACGGTCGGGCTTTGTGAAACAAACAACGAGCGCTCGTCGAGTTGTAGTTGCATATAGGACTCGCTTACGCGAGAGTCCGATTGTTTCGCTCGCCTGCGGCTACGGTGAGAGAGAGAGAGAGAGAAAGAGATAGTGCTGTGTGCTGAGGAAAGGAACGCCGGGGATGTGCGAGCGAGAGCCACGTTTTATCCCGAAAAGAATCGCGCGCGACACGCGGCGGTATCCCCTTCGTGTATCCAGTTTCCAGGCACAAATGCCGTCTTCGCGTAAACAGGTCCCCGTCTTCGTTGAATCCTGGAAATAAAGTTTTGATATGAAATCTCTTGGCTTGCATCGCCGGGAATTGAAGTCAGGCGTCTTGGAAACGCGACTTCATCGCACGGGACTCTCGAAGGACTCTGTACTCCTCGCAAATTTTTGATAATACCGTCGTCGAACTTTTGTTCGAATAGACTCGGGCACCGGCTTGCGTCTCTATCTGTATCACATTTTCGGGCCCGCTTTGAGAAAGATAAGAGAAGTTTCACACCGTGTGTTGTGTAGGGGGAATCAACAAAAGTGTTCGCATTCGTTGGCGAGTGTGCGAAACGGCGCTCCGAGGCTGCTAGACGGAATTATTAATGCACTTTCTCGGCCGAATGCGATGAACTAGATTCGCTCGAGCATTCTCGCCGCACGCGGCGATTGTTAATGCAAAACTCACGTTTGTATTACGCCGGCATGGCGGGAGGGGGAGGAAGGCCTTAATTATGTAATACACAATGCGCGCTCGTTCTTGCTTCTTTCAACGGAGAGAACGACGACTTCGTTCTCGATTCCCCGCGCGTACGAAGAGAATGACGCGTTCTGAAATCAAAGTCGAATACCCCCATCGGCATTTTCCATTTAATCACTTATATTCCGTTTACTCGGAGCGTAAAAGCGAGACATATCGCGGCCGCTCGTTCGACAGTCTTTTAAAGCGCTGTTAATTTCTGCGTTACAACGAACGTTGCGCAAAGCGGGGAACAGGATTCTGCATTCTCCCTCACGACGTTGTTTGCCCGCCCGTTTATTTCTGAAAGGATGGAAAAAAAAACACCCGTAAATGAGTAAGCCGAAGTCGCGTACGCGGAACCAGTTTTCGTTCGGTGCAATTTCGGCGCCGCGACGGAGCTGCACAAAGCGCCGGGGGAACGTCGTCTACGCTCGCACATTGTTTCGGCTAAATCGCGTTATAACGAGGCGTGAAACGAAGATCCCGCCGCAGGTTGGGGGGAGAGGGATTGGCGGCGCAAAACCGCGCGTCACGGTTTATTCGGCATAAATAAGGCGGCACATTAATCAAGATCTCTTCGATCGGTCGCGCCGTAATTAGCGACGGAACCCGCGCCGCGCGTCGATCGCTCTCTCGCCGGCGACGTTCTAACGGACGGCGCGGCGAGTCGGCTTCGGTTTTTGCGTGATTTAATACACGTCGCGGTGTGTCCCTTTTTATATGCGCGGTATCCGCGCGCCGGTCTACCGCTAGTCAATGCTAATCCACGTCGGCGATAAATGCCCGCGCACGTGTGCGGTAATCGGCTTGCGTGTAATAGAGGCCGGATCGCGTGACGCAACCGATTCCGGGAAGCACTATGATTTCTTCTTTTTTTTATTATTATTCAAACCACACGATCGTCTCTGCACGAATGATTTGAGGAGCAGACCGATGTGAGCCGAATGCTCGTTCCTTCTTTTCCGTCTTGGAAAAAAAAAAATATTCACAATAATGGACGCGTTCTCGATATAAATCGAGTGGACATTCAGGCGGGCTGAAAGCTGCCTGTTAATCTAACATAGATCTCTTTGGTTGGCGTGATCTTGTTTAATGGTTTGTTATTCGAAAACAGTACAGTTCGCTTCGCTACGTAAAGTTAGCTTGCGCGTTTCACTCTGCAAGTGGGCTCGATGCGTTATCGCCACTCGTTTCACTCCGCAGAGCTCTCGTTTACCTCGATAACGGTGTTTTCAGGTCGGAATCGATAATTTCGAATCCGTTTCTTTCCTTCTTTTTCAAGCTTGTAACTATACGCGATCACATATATTTCTCGCGGCAAGTTCACTCGCGACTAGATGGTCGGAACGTGCGAAATATCAGGCGGTTTCGAAGTTTTCCCGGCACGACAGCCGGCAACTCGTCGGAATATCTGAACGGCGCGCGCGGAGATCTGAATGAACGGTGGAACTCGAGAGGAAAAGGCTCCGCGCGCGCGCGCGCGAGACGATGCTATCTGTAACGTGAGAAAATGGGTTTCCTCATTATTCCGATCTTGTTACGTGTAACGCGGCGCGTGTGAAGGCACGTTCATTGTTACCGAAGAACACCGGAGAAGCCCGCGGTACCGAAGATATTAATAAATGGGTCGCGATCGGTCGACAGCTGGAGGGAATATCGGCGGTGTACCTATATCGCATTTTCGATTCCCGGGGCGGGTGTTATTACTGGCGACGTGTGTAATAACAGTTCGCTTTGTTATTGGACTATCGATCGTTGCCGGTAATGCCAGGTATGCGAATTCGCGTTAGTTATCGGAGAACATTGAACTGGTTTCGCGCGGAGAGAAGTCAACCGGTGTCTTTCACACGGCCCCCGAGAATGCAGTCGTCTTCCCGTAATATTTCTTAACGACACGCGTCGGTGATTTCTAAATAAGTATAGACATTTTGCGCCAAACGTACGAATTTCGAGGAGTCAAATTGCAGCGTCAATTATTCAGCGTCAATTATCAAAATCGTAACTGCCACGGGAAAGAACAGTTGTCGTTGCCGGGTTTTAAATGTAGTCAACATTGGGAATTGGGAGCGCTCATTAGCGATTTAGAATTAAACTCGAGCAATACGACGAACTCCTGTTGCCGAGAGCATTGCCTCGCATCAGGAGAAGAGAGAATCTTTACCGTCGTTAAAACGCGGATGGATATTACAGAACCTCTTGATGCGAGAGCGCGTGCATGCGTGCGACCGCAAAGAATGCTCGAGTGGTAGATAATACGACGCTTGCGAGAAAGGCAAGAGCAAACATTAAGAACTGTTACGCCGGCAATTTTGAAATCCTGCAGAGAGAGAGAGAGATATATATACATGGAGAATTATCTAACTGCCGCTTACTCTCGCCGTTTGCCACAAATTGCCAGTTTGCGCCACAATAATTCCAATCATTTTTCCCAGGATGATTTATTTATGCGATGCCACTTGATATCGCGACGACGCGACTCTCGTGGATCTTCATCGATTGAATTCTCACCTAAAAAAAAAAAAATCGCGAGATATTGTAATAATTAGAGAAAGCGGGAAGTAATAAGTAAATTCGCATTCTGTGCTAAATTTAATTCTTAAAATACAGCAATTTCGTAAACACTTTATTGTAGCTAGTTAAAATTAATGACGCTAATTAGAATTGTAATTGTCGAATATAAATAATGCCATCAGAGGAAATAGCAGCAGCGGAGCATTCTTCGGTCATTGTCTTCTATTACGAATTATTACGTGGGTCAGTGAAACGAAATCCGGCATCCACGTTCAGATCTGACGCATCTGACGCGCGCGATTACACCGTCTAATGAGTAGCTCGCGCGGGAAAAGAGCGGCAAATTAATATGGCACGCTCGCGGGAATCCAATTAGGATGTGGAAATTAATTCGACGCGAGGCGGCTTATAGCGCGGGAAAAGAAAAACTGAAGACCTGCACTTTCGCTGCGCGGCGCACATCGCTCGCACGTGTACGCACGTTTCCCCACAGTATTTCGAGACTTTTACACTTTCGTGAGTTCCGACACTCATTAGCGAGAGAATTCCTTGATCGAAAGAGTTGTAAATTCATGCGCCATCAGGCTATCGGCATACATGACAAGTTCAGATAACTCCGCTAATTGCACGTGATAAACGGGCTCTCTTTATCGCATCCCTGAAAAAATATCGTCGTAGCACGTAAAAATTCCACTTCACAATTGATTATCTATCTTCGATTATTCTGATTAAAAACTCGAAGCGGAATGTTTATAAAGTCCTCTCTGAAAGACGTGTTATAATTAGAGGCGGAAATAAATAAAGATTTTAAAAAGTCACAAATTATTAAATGCGTTCTAAATGCAAATTTTTTCAAGTAGCTTGATTACGACGATATTATTCTAAGCTCCGTTTATAGCATCCTGAGAGAGAAAGAGAAAAAAGATATTATTATAGTGCAATCGAGGATAAAGACAGAAAAAACGTTCGCTCGCAACTGGTTTATTAAGGTGACGATGACGCTGGCGAAATGTCAACGTCGTTATAATTCTCCCGCGACATGTGGAGGAATTTATCCTTGCCGTGCTCGCTAAAATATCGTATACACCATCGATCACGATGAACGACGCCGACGTGCTAATACCGAGCGGGCATCGGTGCCTACGCCGGGGATTAAAGAAGTATCCCAGTATCGATAAGAAATTGTGGGACGCGAGCAGCAGGTGGATACTGCAGTGGGATAATATAGTGAAGCATCCGGGTGCGAGGGCGAGAGGATGTCACTGCGACATCCACAAGCCGCCTTGGCTGTATCCGGATTTAGGTATACCTATGAATTTATTCTGCCGCATGAAACCGACGATCTTGTCGTTGTGACATAAAGCGGTTGTATATCATCAATATATTAATTGACAGTACAGATATTTTTTTATGGCGATGATGTCACTAATTTTTCTATGTTTTCTATGTATTAAAAACCTACGTTATATTATGTTGACAAAATAAGACGATACTGTGATTAAACAACTTATAGAATATAATAAAATATTGTTTCTATAAGATTATATTTGTTTTTAAATATTGTATTTCTTTTTAGAACTCTGCGATTTATAAATCTTCTAATTTATTATAGCGAGAAAAAAATGCGCGAGTCGTGATTGTGACAATTTTCTTTCTCTTTTGTTGCAGTTGGCAAGGACAGCGATGAACTCGACAGAGCGGTAAGTGTTGAATCCGAAAGTGCATAGATAGCTTTGTTGCATGTTTATAAACGGAAATAACGTTTTGAGAAAAAAATAATGTCCATTGCAGATCAAATCGGCTCCCGTAAAGAGGTTCAACATGCCTCCGAAAAGAGGTCAATTTGGGCCCGCTAAAGCACCATCCTCTGCCTTAGGTATTCAATATATTCAAATGTTTATCCGAATTATCTCACATGTCTCATTATTTTAATTACTATTTCGATTTAATCGTCAATTTGATAGTCTTAATTTGTTTATTTATTTAGTTTTTTAAGCATGTTATATAGCAAAAGTTTAGCAACTGCGAAACATGTTTCTCTAAAACTGTTTTCGTTAGTAGCTGTTGATGTAAAAATTGCAAGTAGCAATACATGTTAAATATTCGAACGAGTTATTTTTAATTTATAAAACTTACGTATCGTATTTGGTTAGAATGTCATTAACTATCGGTATTTTTTAATTGTATTGGAACGAAGATACGTAGCAGTGCTAGTTTGTGTCGCACAAATCAAATAGCTTTTTATGTGAGCAATTGTCTCGTGTATTTTACCTGAGATGTGTCTCTCTTTGTCTTCCCACCCGAAATATATATCTATATGTGAATGTCATGACTCAGTGTTGACTCGATGTCATAGAAGCACCCGGTCTGCAAACGAAGCGCACATGGGAAATATATATGTCGCAATAATCCTTACTTACGCTTAGTTTTAACCGCAATGCGGCTTTACTTTTGCATTTTGTGTAACAATATATTGTCGGAAAGATTCATCAGCCAAGGGTCAACGTATGTTAACGTTTCGATGACAAAAATACGCTAACTGTTCGCTTGCATGAAAACAGCTCCTCCTGGCACTCCATCCTACGCGGTCCCAAGGGCAGCGACCGTCAAAAGAGCTCTGTCAGTAAGGTCGACATCAGGTACATTTCTAAATTTTACTATTGGCAATTATTATTTTAGAAAATATTTTGTGAGATCCGCAGATATTTCCGACTAAAAGATAAAATAGTACAGATAATCACGCTGTTATATACAATTCAAAATCTTAAACGCGAATATGTAACACGGAGTTTCCTTAATAAATTGTATAAATTTTTCCCCAATTAATGAATATGTCCTGCGCGTTATTGCTTCTTGGTCAATACGCTTCTCATATAACTTGACATGTAACTACACACAGCGCTTATTTATTATCACGTGCAGTCATATCATTTTCGTTAATTTTTACTTGCATTTGCTTGAGCATTATTCATAGCAATTCATAGCAATATGTGTAACATTTAAAATTAGTATCGTAATCATTGACAATTTCTAAAAGTGCGCAAAGCATGGAAAGTATAATTCTTAGAAAGGATTCCTTAGCGCACATGTGTATATTTCCGCATTAAAGCGAACATAATAAAATGTTATCATTGTTTGTACAGCGCAAGCCGGAGCCGTTGACGAAGAATGCTTTATGACTTCGTTCGAGGACGTGCCTACCGTCAATCTATTCTCGGCGAAGGACCTCGAAGAACAGATGAAAATTATTAGGGAGACTGTGGGCGACGACAAAAAGGATTGGAAACAAAAAATGGATAGCGTACGTATCGCAAGGGGACGAGAGTACCTTCTCTCACGTGAACCTAACGATTTTCTATCGGTTGTTTTCTTGGCTTTTCCAGATGAAAAAATTGAGAGCCATTGTGCTTGCGGGTGGCACTAATTACGAAAATTTCTACGAGTGCCTAAAGAGCGTACAGCGACCGTTCGAGCAGGCCTGCACTGACCTTCGATCCCAAGTAGCGCGAGAAGCATGTATAACTCTCGCCTTTCTGAGTCAGAGCCTGAAGACCAAATTCGCCAGTTTTGGCGAGGCGGTTTTGCTGACGTTAATGAACCTCATACAGAACAGTGCCAAGGTGAGGTTTCATAGAACGTTAGATATATTTGCTACGGAATAAAATTCGATTTGTTTCTGGTGGGATTTAAACCCGGGTCTTCGGCACAGAAGGCAGACGCACAGCTTTCTACGCCACGATCGCTACATTTAGATCCTTATTATTGTTCTGTTACTTTCGAAATCGCTATATCGAGTCTTAATTACACATCTTCACTGTAAAATGCATTTCCACTTAGTTTTTACGTTTAATCTCCGTAAGAGTTAGGAGAATTTAATTACTCTTTCCATTTTCATGGTAAACTAGGTCGTGGCGACAGCCGGTGCGGTGGCAGTTCGGTTCATCCTTCAAAATACCCAGTGCAGTCGATATGTGCCTATTATTATATCGTGCGTGAGCAACAAGAGCAAAGACATTCGCAGGGCGTCCTGGGAATATCTGACTTTAATCCTGCAGACCTGGCCTACGCAGATATTGCAGAAGCACATAACAATATTGCCGGACGCGCTCAAGAAGGGCATCGCAGATTCCGACGCGGAAGCGCGAGTTTTCGCTAGGAAGTGAGTATAATTTTTTTTTTACAGCCGGTTTAGTTCCGACGATGCCTGTCTTTATTTACAAAGAGATTGATTTAATAATTTTATTAATTTTTTTGTCACTTTTTTTTATAGATCATTCTGGGCATTTAAAAATCATTTTCCCGAGCAAGCTGAGATTCTTCTTAATAATTTGGACGCATCATATAAACGCTCCCTGATGTCTCTCAGCAACAGCGGTAGCAGCAACAGCTTAAACATCGTAGCTAATGCGAGATCGTCGAGCGTTAGTCCACGTACAGCCAGACCCGTCATGAGCGCGGCAGGTAAAGACTTTCCGCCTGTTTATTACCGCGATTTAAACGCTCCATTAAAACGGATTACGTTTGCAATTTGAATAATATTGATGTTATCGTTCGTACTGCGTTCCTAATATAAAGGACTTGTCACTCTGTTTTCATGCTGCTTTGTGACTTCTTCTTTACATTAAACATACGAAGGTAGTACGGAAAATTTGCATCAGACCACGGGTCAACCGCACGGCCCGCTCAGACGTACTCCGTCCTTACCTCGGTCTTATCGTCAATCTGGTATCCCGATACTACAAAGACCGACAGACAGTTACTGTAATTGTCCTATTTACTGTAATTGTTCGTTGTATTTTTCTTCACAGATAAATCGCACTTTGTACATTACGTTACGTCACACTGCAAAAAAAGAAATGCACGAACGGAGAACTGTCTTTAATTTCCTTTCTTTTTTTATCTTGCACAGAAGTTGTAAAGTAGAAGTTACGTGACGCAAGAATTAATAATACCGCAGAATTAATCTGTTTTATATTTCTACAGATCGAGGTACACCAGGAGTTAGATCTACCAGCGCGATTGACTTGCAAGCTGCTCAAAGGGCGAAAGCGAGGTTGATGTATGCGAACATGAGCAGACAGAAAGCAGCAGCAGCTATTCGTGAGTAATATTTTATTAAATTTACTATGCAGTCGAAAATATTGATTATTTTAATATAGAATAATTTTCAAAGCCCATCTACATACGTCGTAAACACGGACGTTTCTCTTTTTTTTTATTTTTTTTCCTTCGCGTTTGCGTTGTGCGTTTGCGACTTATGTAGGATGGGGCTTTAGCGATGCATATAAAATGACTGTTGCACATTTTTTTTATATTGCTTCAGCTCGTCCTAGTAAATCCCCGGATCCCAGTGCGGTTGCTAGCCCAGAAAGAATGGCAAGGACGAGGACGAGAGTGTCGGGAGTTTCACAATCTCAACGTACGTTCTATAATTTTTTTTTTTGTGGAAAAAACGAAACGTGCAAACGGTGAATCTTTAACGAAAACTTTTTTCTCATTACAGCTAGCAGTAGATCGGGTTCTCCGTCGTCTAGATTAAGTTACGCTACGTATAATCGCGAGGGTGAATCACTGATAGGCAGGCCAAGGCGATTATCCGGACACACAATTGGCAGCACAAGCAACAGTCGCGAACCTAGTCCGCAGAGATTCGGAATGGACAGGAGTTTCGCGAGCAAACTTAGGTAAGCAATTTATAACAATCGTTTATGCTGTAAATTCGTATGATTATATCATTGTATCTTCTTTTCTTTGCATGCCATACTCTTGTCAGTGCGTAGACAATCTTTTCTATATATCCGTAAATATATGGGCATGTAAAAACAACTTTCCTGAACAAGCTGAAGTGACTGTTTTAATAATTCTGGATGCGTCGTATAAACGCTCCTTGATGTCTCTCAAAGTAATCGATAATAGTAACCGCTTAAATAGTGGCTAATATGAGATTGTCGAGCATTAATTAGCCACGATACATTGGAGAAAACACGCTAGGGTCGGCAAAAGCATTACTTCTCGCTCTGTATCTGAAATAAAAAAATCATTTAAAATTAATAATAGAATAGAGCAAGAAGTCAAGCTGGATATTCGTGCTAACAAAGTACATTAATCAAAATTAATTACATACGGTAATTTACAATCAAACGATCGTTTCGGCTTGACATCAAGTCCTTCCTCAATTGTCAATTTATTTAACTTTTAAATATCTCACCGAAAGCTCGATGACGAGAATTTCTCTCACTTCGAGTTTCGGCGTCAGCACGATACGTGCCCTTTCTAAAGCAATCTGATTGACGCGTTCATATTAATAATAACAGTTTGTTCTGAGAAAATGATTTTTAAATGCTCGTACGTTGGTCCGCGTACAGCCAGACCTGACATGACGGGTCCTACAGTTTTAATGCCAGTTTGGAATCGGCGTTAGAAGAGATTTTCCTGGGTTACTCTCGGTGGCTCGCTTTTGCCTTCCGAGAGGTGGCGATCATTTCCAAATCGATTAAAATCGATTTTAAAATTGTATTGTTCTGGGTAGATTTGAATCTGGATCTTTGGCACAGGAAGCTGCCGCGCAGCTCCTTGCGCCACATACATACCACTGTATAATATACATAAACAGTTAAAAATTGTTATTTATTTGAATTTATAGAGGGAGAAACATACATATGTCGCCAACGGACAGCACCAGACCACCGGTGATGGCGCAAAAGATGCTGCAGAAGTCGCGCGAAGCGGAGTCCGCTTTGGCGGATGCTCTGACTTTCGATAGCATCGACAACTACACCAGACTACCGGGCAACAAAGGCGATCACAGTGACGACAGCGAAAACAGCAGTATATGCTCGGAAAGAAGCATAGACGGTTTTAGACGAGCCAGTGATGTAAGTGCAAGTTTTATTAGCAAATCAAAGAAATGAGAAAGTGAAACGCACTCGTTGGCTTCAGTATTGGATTTTTTTGTTACTTCGATCAAAAGTGGATGTATGTCACATTACGGAATCGAAGTTATTTAATGTGTTAATTGTTAAATTAATTTTTTCGTGTAAGCTAGCACACGCGTGTTCAAGAAGAGATTGAACATTTCACGCATATTATTACACGTATCATGTGCTACATTTAATAGAAATTTACACACGTTTTATACGATAATTAATAGGTCTACCGCTTTTTATAATTGATTGGTTAACGCTTATATGCAATACTTAGATTTTATTTTAATTTTAATAGCATGCAAATTGATGCACTTCAAAATAATGAATATTTCTGTTTTATGATTTTATATTTAAGACAATTTTTTTGTAAGACATAAAATGAAATTACTTCACAAATTTATCACGAAATGATATCAAGTTTTTATTAAATAAGAAAATAATTTTTATTAACGAAGAAAACGAATAAAAATTCTTTATGAAGCTTTTAGCACTGTATGATGATGTAGCTAATGCATGTCTGGTTTTTACTTTTGGTTTTGTTGCGGCATATTTGTTTGGTTTGGACTAACGCGACACGCCGTTCTGTTCTCCATATCTCTCCATCGTCCATCTACCCATTAGTCGTTCTCGTGGAGTGGCTCTCAACCGAGACTATACCGTGATCTATGGGATCAGTCTATCCCGAAGGTTTGTTAAATTCTTTTCATTTCTGCACATTGAAGTAAAACCATTGGATATTCTTAAATCAATTAGTGCAGCAATTGTACGTCATTAATAAAAAAAGAGAGATTGTTTTTTTTTGTTACTTATTTTTTTACATCAAAAATATTTCAGAATATAATTATGTGTTGACATTAATACTTGGAAAGCGATACGAAAGCAATAATTTCTCGTTTTACAGGACATCAAAGAGATCATTGAAAACTGTGCTCACAAACATTGGGGAGACAGAAAAGAAGGCTTAGTCGGCTTGCAACATTATTTGAGCAGCGGAAGTCGTTTGACAACGACAGATTTGCGCAGAGTGACGGATATTTTTACGAAAATGTTTATGGATTCCCACACCAAGGTGTTTAGTTTGTTCTTGGACACGTTGAACGAACTGATAATTACTCACAACGAAAGTCTCGGCGACTGGTTGTATGTTTTGTGCGCGAGACTTCTCAATAAGTTAGGCACCGATGGTCTATTGGGATCTATACAAACAAAAATTCACAAAACGCTTGATGTTGTGAGGTGAGGATTCATACGGAGTTTTATTGCACGCGGTGCTGCATCGTCCGTCGAGTTTTTACTGTGGCTTATTATATTTGTTTGTACACGTAATGTGATTTTTGTCTCCAGAGACTGTTTCCCGGGCCACAAACTTCTACCAGCTGTGATGAGGTATCTGACAGATCCAACACAAACACCAAATACTCGCGTGAAAGTAGCAGCATTGACTTTTATCACGCAGATCGCTGAAACGGCAGAACCGTGCGCGCTGGGCAGTTCTGCAGCGACAGCACTCGCACGGCTGCTCGACTGGTCGAATGACGGCAAAAGCCACGATGTGAGGAGGCACGCGCAAAACGCTGTGATATCACTTTACAATCTCAATCCGCCTCAAGTTACTATGATATTCTCCGAGTTACCGAAATCCTATCAGGTGTGTTGAATGAACTAACTACCGGTTTACTCGTCAGCGTTTCCTCGTATCGGTCTCGCGTTGCATCATTTTGTTTTATTTTTTTCTTCAGGAAACAGCCTGGCCTCTAGTGCAGAACCACCTGAAGAAATCGTCCACTTCTAGTAATCCGGCGTCGCCCGGTACGCCACCGCCTAGAGCGCAGAACTCGCCAGCTCGAACGAAAGTGAAAAACGATGTTAAAGCGGACGCGAAGACTGAAATCGATGGGGGAGACGAGAACTTGGAGGAAGTATACAAGTACGTGGACAACGTACATGTACAAATTTGCAACATTAAATCTCTGGATATTTTATAATTCCGAAACAATCTAACTTTTAAAGTTCTCCTTACAGATCTCTGCGACGCACGACCGCCGAAATTCAAAATTACGGCTTCGAACGTTTGGAGAGAGCCACCACCAGCAAGGACAGCGGTATCAGCAATATGGCAGATGTCGAAGAAAGAATGGAAGGTCTTACGTTATCCAATTCGGTAGGCTTAGTAAGAAAATACCGTGACAAAAACAAGAATGAGATAGGAAGATCCGAGATTATCCTTAATTAATTATGTTCAGGGTCGATCCTCATCCGTTTCCTCACCGACGCAACGAGGACGATCTGTTAGTAACGTAACGGTGAACGGATCCGATACAATTGCCGGTGACTTGATTCTACCTCAAGAGAACAATGGTTACAAAACGCATGGTATGTATGCTTTAGGTTTTTTTTTAATTCATAAATAATCTTGCGTATACAATAAAATGGAAATAATCTTAACGTTACTTTGTAGGATCATCACCAGATTCGATAAACAGACCAGAAATCGTGGATAACATGGTTAAAACCCTGCAGTCTAAAGTGGAGCAAACTCCGGAAAAAGTATCGGCGTTACAAGAATTTCAACTTTATGTCCGTGAAGGCGATTCGTCATATATTAAACGCAATTTCAAGTACGTCACAATGTCAACTGACGCGTATCTTACGCGACGATTTATTTCTGGTGATTTAACAATTCTCTGATATTTCAGAAAAGTGCTCAAAGTTTTACTAGACAGTTTATCCAATGACGGAAAAATGATACAAGTAGAAGTGCTGCAAACGTTTATCGATATGCTGAAATGTTCCGAGTTGATAGAAAGTTTTTCCTCTTACAATGAGTTACTGGTACTGAAAGTTATTAACGCCTACAAGTCAGACGATCAAAAGGTCGATTCTTCCAGTGGTAGCGGCGGCAGATCTCCAGTGAATATTAATTCCGTTTTAATTTTTTTTTTATTAATAAAATAATGGCGTTATATATCTACGGTGTTATAATATTCATTACAGGTTCTTTGGAACGCGGAGAAGTGCGCGGCGACGATGGCCATGGTTTTAAAGCCGGAACAAATTATCCATTTGGTCTCCACTATCATCGCTACGGAGACATATCCATTGAATATGGGCGCGATAAAAATGTTGCACAAAGTGGTGGAGCATTGGGGTCGTGAAGCTATCGAACCTCATCTTTCCAAGGTTATGCCTGGCCTTATTAAGGTAAGAGAAGTTAATAAATTTTTGGAAAATTTTTATTTAACATTGCGTTATATAATGATTATATTTTCTTTGTTTTTCATATTGTAGGCTTATGACGACTCCGAGAGCGCGGTTCGTAAGAGCGCGGTCTTCTGCATGGTGGCGATCCATGTCGCGGTCGGCGAAGAGGCGCTGAAGCCGCACCTGAGCTGCCTGTACTCCAGTAAGCTCAAGCTGCTGAACATCTACATACAGCGCGCGCAGCAACAGGCGAACAGTCAACCGGCGAGTCCGCGTAGCAACAACAAGAATTAACCAATATCCAATACCACGACTCTCAGGGTCGCGATACTTAAGAGGTTCGCCCGCTTCGGCGCGCGGCATGAGCGAATGCTAGTTAGCTTCCTCAGTAAGTCCGATCCGTCTTGATGGTCGATCGACGACGACGGTTTTAACAGTATGACTCGGAAGTTTTGATACGATTGAGACTGATGTGTGCGTGTGTGTGTGCGTCATTTCGCGTCGGCGTGCATGCGAATCGCTGCTCGAGAGACGGCAGCGATGCATCAACGGAATCAACGCTTCGATGTTAGGTTTGTCGAATTATTTGTTTATATAGAAGAATAAGGGCGACTTGTGCATGATGATTTAATTCTTATTAAGAGAGTAAAGCTTTCAAAGAGATAATTTATTACGTATGAAATACTGATTTTTTTTCGTCTTTTGAGTGTGAAAAATAGCTGTATTGCTATTATATTGATTATACAAGTACGCTTTTAAGCGAGTGTCACATAGTAACTTCGATTGGCAGATATGTCGTCTTCAAGTATCATTTCCGTGATACGCGCTCGCGAGGTTTTTTTCTTCTATGGAAAGATTGTGAAATTATTTATACAATATATTTGTTTGCGAAATGAACAACTCGATTCGTTTAATTTTGCTAATTTCTTTTTTATTTTCTTACTGTACATACATTGATCCGTACGCGAGCTATGTCGTATTTTATAGTAGAGAGAGCTACAGTATTCAGAAAGTCCAGTATTTTTGTCGATACGTGACAGAGATTTTATTTCTATTTTCGCGAGCAGTAGGATTGGAAATATTTTTTTCTCTCCCGGGATTTCAAACCTTTCATTCGCCATGAGAAAAATAATTCAGCGAGACGGGTAATAAAACTAAGAGAACGCGATGCAACATCACTGTTTACGGATGATTTAGCTATTTCTCGTATAGTTCGAACACCATAATTACTCGGACTAATCAGCAAACCTGAAATATTTATATCATACGTTTTATTTACATTTAATATCGAATCGACGTTCAGCGTCGAGCGTTAATCGTATGTATCCGGCGATACGTTGTGATGCACAGCAACGACACGTGATAAGGAAAAGTGGAAAGTGTATAATTTATTCGTTTGAAATCTTCGTGCTAGTCAGATTCCCAAGGACGCACAATGACGTAAAAGACACAAACGAAATAGTCGAGTCTTTTTTGAGGAACCATGCATAGACACTCAAATAATACATATATATACACGAAAGAATATATGTGTGTGTGAGAGAGAAAGCAAGAGTTTAATGTGAGAGCATGAAAGATGCGTGGCCGAGAAGTTAGCGCGTGTTTAAGAAGCAAGCATAAATAAAGTAGCAGTGATTAGTAAAATTGATCTGCGCTCGAGACTAACGTTAACACTTAAACTATTCATCACGTTGCCAATAATTGAATGAACGCTAAATCAAACGCTAACGTAACGAGTTTAGTAACACTTTGTGCCATTGTCGTTTCTGTTTACTGTATAAGAAAAAAAAATTATATATTATATATTCTACGTCGTAAATCATCCCTTTTGTCCTTTTCTTACTACATATATTTAGTCACGAGTTACGATACAGTAAGGATAATAAATCTTAATTTTATTATGAATTTGTCAAGGCGAAGCATTGAAGCATTACGAGAAATGTCGAAAAATCATTTTTGTTTTTTCTTTTTCTTTCGGAAATGTTCGACGTTAATACACGAATATACCGAACGTAAAACAGGTAGAGAAAAGCGTGAGTCACTTATGGTAGAATGTGAATGTCTGATAATACCTCGATAATTCAGCGTGATGACGCGGTAATTTACACAATACGGCCAAATAGTGCCAAAGAAAATGCAAAATATCGAATGAATAGAGGAGTAATTTGAAAGGGAAAACACGAGACAGACTGTATTTCTTTTACTTGGTGCCTTCGGCGTCGACGCGACGGGATTTGATTGAAGATTGTCTTTCAGCATCACCTAGAAACCAATTTCGCGCATAGCACGGTCGAGATTATAGAGGAGGATTACTACTACGCGAGAGGTCTTTGACTGTTGCCGACGTCGTACAAATATGAACGCTTCGCGATAAAGAAAAAAAAAAGAAGAAGAAAAAGATCTTCTCGATTATTCTCGTAGCATAGAGGAAATTCTAGATGGACTCGATATTTTTCCCATTCTGCGCTCCGAATAGAATCTCGAAAGTACATTTCACGAATAGATATTTATTCCACACGCGTGTATTTACTCTGCGCTTGTACGACACCCTGTTCGAAATGCTGAATTGTCAAATTATTGTCGAGATAAATAGAAACGGTTTCTGGGCAAGTCCTCTCGTGAGAGAGAGAGAGAGAGACGAGACGGCATCCTCGTTGCGCAATTAAATAATCGATATTAACGCGCGACAATATTCTGATTGAGGGATTTAATCGCGCCCCTAAATCCGCTGAAGGTTCAAATGCGCCATTGAGTAACGGGTCGTCTGCGAAAATCGAGTTGAATCAAAATTTAAAGGGCTCGACGCAAGAGTCGAGGGCTAAAATTAATTCGCAAGATCCATTTTAAATATATACGCGACGTGTATTTGAAACATGCGAATCTTGCGAATCTTGCGCCTGAAAACTTCGAATTTTCGATATTCAAACACTTTGGCGGTACGTTTGACTTCGCGCCGATTTAGGGCATGGCCTGTGTGACACGTGATTGTGTGTATATATATACATATTATACGATATAATACTTAGAAGAACGTGTAATTATATTATACGTAATATAATAATTGATATACGGATTAGGTAGCTCGTCGTCACTGCCTGCAGCGTTGGTCGTGCTGAGGATACGAGGCTCTCTGACACAGCCAGGCTCTGCGTGGTGATCGTGTTTATCGATTTGCTTGTTCTGTTAAGTTTTACGGGCGTTATTATTATTATTAATATTATACCGATACTCGACTTGCGTTGTAACTGTAAGCTCGATTGCGTGTGTGATGTAAATGAGGATTTTGGCGATGGGCGATGGATGGGCGAACGGTCCTCCGCGACAGCCTCGCCTTTATCTTTTTCTTCGAACGCGAGGCCGGATCGTTCGGCCGCCCACGCGAGAAGCTATATAGGATGTAAGCCCTCCCATGCGTTATCATTTTAATGTTTGTTAACACCCGCTGTTAACTGTTTCGCGTGCGCGCGCGCGCATAAATAAATTCGTCGTTAAGCGTTCCGCCGTCCCCTCCCCCACGTGCACCGCTATCGCGTTTCTTCCCTTTTTTCTTTTTGCATCCGGCGGTTGCAAGTCGCAGTTTTATTCGTTCGCTTTACGCGCGGTGCGCGAGATGCTCCCCCAAAATTGGCGCAACTATCCCCTTCCTCCCGTCGCGATCCAAAGGTTCGGGGGGGGGAAGAAATTCCACGTGCGTGCGCGATGATCGACCGACTCGTGCGATCCGCTATGCGACCTTATCTCTGAAATTCGAGAAGTAATTTATATGCGATACCTTAATAGACTCGAGATTCTTTAACAGCGTGGGCGAAAGCTCGACTTGAAATGGCATGATTCTCTGAGGAAGTACGAGTGAATGGCATTGCAATTATTTATAAATGAAACAAAGAGCGTATTATATAATTATATTTGCGTCTTTATTGCCATGAATTTTACACACGTTCGATTATGTTTAATATATTTCATATTTGACGTATTAAATGAGCGTGAGACACATCTTTCTCGCTGCGAATTCGATCTGTGAAAATCTCTGAAAAAGCTTGTGGTTAGTAAAATTTTCCAAGAAACGTTCCTTAACAAATATGTACGTGTGTTATAAATCACGCATTTTAATTTTCGTCAAGAAAAAATTTCCATTTCCACATTATCTGTTTAGATTTACGTTCCGTTTTCAGTTCCGGCCGATTCGAGCGTCCCGCTTGCCCTGGAAGCATCCTGAAGTTGGCCAATGCACGACTGCGAACTCGAACGGATCTCGCGTAGGTTCAGTGAGTTCGCGACGCGTCTCTGAAATTTCGTCCTTTCGTTCGCGCGTGTGTGATTCGATAATGCATGCGGAGAGTGCTACTTCCTCGAGCCACGGCTACGCAGACGTGAGTATTATCGCTGTTTATCCCGTCAATTACGTTCGAGCGCGGTGACAATATCTCGGGGTATAATTACGACGCGCGCCATGGAACGAGAAACTCGATCAAGGTTAATCGCGAGGGTCGGCGAATTGATTAGTCAAATTGCCGAGAAGGTGAGCGACGAATTTCCATTATTATCTATTCGTTTGTCGAGTCTCGCGGCGCAGATAGTCTTTACGATTACGACCGTCCCGCATAGCGGATCCCCGTGAGATCGGCGCTGTTTCCCGAGCGTATCGCGAGCGCGCGTATACCGTCGGACGTCCCTACGAAGGCGCCGACTGACGGAAGACCCGGCCGCGTTTTGCGACCCTTTGACGCGGCAGCGCTCGTACATTCGCTGTTACATCCCTTTTCGCGCTCGTTACCCTTCCGTAGAAAATATACTCGCGCGCGCCCGCGATGACCGAAGAAGAGCGTGCGACCGAGTCAGGACCAAGCGGGCGAGAGCGCGTTCGCGCTCGGTCCAGCGGACCGAGACGCAGAGGCGAGAGGCCGTGAGGAGGAATAAAAAATACTAGAGAATAAAGACGCGAAGAGGAGAGAAGCTCCATCGAGATTTTTTCACGCCGATAAATCTGAACAATAAAGCGACACCCACATCGCGCAACGACATTACACTGTATTGTTATTGTAATTGCCAACTTAACATAATAATATAAAGCATCGCTACGAGCATCGCCGGCCGCTGACTGCTTCCCGCATCTTCATTTGCATTCGACATGTTACTATTTCCCTATTTTCTCTTCACAATGAATGAAGACTAATTATCGCGTTAAATACATAGCGGAGATTGTACCGATTGCTTGGCAATTACAATAGCGATTTCTGACACTGTTCGCTCACCGATTCACTCCGAGACCGATCAGGAATATTGCGAAAGTCTCCTGAGGAAATAAACTTTTGGTCCCAATTCCCGGTCTTTTTAATCAATCCTGCATTTTTTTTGTACCGAAGTTTCGTTACGAAAAATTAGCATAAGTGTGATATTTATTAAGCTATATACGATTAATTTTTCCTGCATTCGTCGTTATTGCGTAATCGATAATAATTTTTAAGCTAATCTCTGGATCTCACCGTATATCGGATCGTAATCAAATGAGAGGAGGAATGCTTTGTATTACAAATGCTTTATTAAAATGTTCAATATAAACAATGGCATCGTGGTATACTGTAGAAGCTCGTACAACGATATACGATGTACACTAAATATCATCGCGTATACACGAAGAGGAACAGTAGAATGAAAAGAAAATGAAGGGATGAAATTTCCCGTTATTTGAATTGACATTTTTTGCGACAGCGATCTCTTCGGAAACACGTAAAATACGATTCAATCTCTGAATATGTTCGCTGTGAACAGACAGTATCGATTCACAGAAACGCAAGATCTTAGTGAGTTTGCTCTTTTCGCGAATGAATATATCTTGGGCGGAAGTCCCTCTCGCTATGAATAAATTCGTAACATTAAAGCTCAACCATTGCGCGGAAAAATAAGAATAAAATAATGGAAAAAACGGTATCACATGTGATAAAAGTCGATGGCCGGCTGCATCGAGTTTGGCTTCTCGTCCATTCTTCGTCTGTTCCTGTTAGAACGATCAATTGAACAATAAATTAATTTAAACATATATAGGGCGTTATTCATGGTCCTGCTGAGAAAATCGGATTATGGATAAGATCTAAGTTTATGATCTAAGATCTTAAGTTTTAGGTCGAATTCTCAAGTCTAATCCATCCAGGCAATAAAAAAGTAACCCTTTTGAGACGATTATCTGAAAATGCTCGTACTTAGACGATCTTTGTAAATGCATAGAAAATTGGACCGTGAATAATCGCCCGCATAACCGCGATGAAACCAGTCATCCGCGGTCAGAGATGAAACTTATCTTGACGGCGCGAGCCAAAAATCGTGGGAAGGGACGTCTCTTATTATAGCTTATCACATTTGTATATGGCATATCGTGTACTTCAACGTATAAAAATATATAAAGTCTGGCTCGCCGATCGGATCCTTCCGGCGGATGCCGTCCGTCGCATGACGAGTCCCTCCCTCAAAATCTATTTAGACGGAACGATCTTGCAAAATTGTGTAAGACTATCTGATCCACGCAACAATTTATTGACTTGCTATTTGATTTACAATTTCATTAAATTACAGTGTAGTTATTTTACAGATTTGATTATTGATACGCGAGCGGCAAATTATGGCTGTATTTATGTCGCTGTTTTTCACTGAAGTGTCTGCACGAAATATGCTATTATGAATGAAATATGAATATGTTGTGGCCACTGTCTTGCGAGCGCGTCTTTTTATGAACAACGTCTCGCTCCGTCTAAATGGTTCTTAATGGCGCTAAACTAAAATATCTCTTGAATGATCTAAGTATCTGTCCTAAGTAAACGGCGCCACAAGCGAACGGATTGTCCGCTTAACAATAAAACCCGCTCGAACGCAGCGAGGCTCTACGCGTCGAGAAGGAATTATTCCCGATCAGGAAATTTGCTATTGCTACACAGTTTTCATCTTTCACAGGATAAAGCTTCAGAGGCACAATCGCACCCATGGTGTTTGTTACGTAACGTAAAATCGTCTGTGTTAACGTTTGTATAAATTGTTTCTCTTCTCTCGGAGCCTCGCCATTAAAATAAAATCGAGCGGCAATTTAAAAAAGCGGAGAATCCTTCACATCGTGATTCTGCTGCAAGAATATATAACCTATGCGAGACATCAGATCGGCATAATACTGTAACGATAAATCCTCACGCGAAATTCTCGTAGGAAAGGAAAAATTGGAGGCACTATGCTTGGACGCTCTCGCGCGGAGCGTGTTACGATTCCTTCGATAAAACGCAAATCTCGCGCGACGTATATTAATTATCTTCCTCTCTTTCTCTCCCTCATTACGCAATAACGTTACATTAACAGTATCTTATCAGCTCTAGTCCGGCGATCCGGCGAAGAGCAGAAACATCGGAAAAATATATTTTCTGCTCGCCTTCGCTTTTTATCGTACGACGCGTGTCACGCGCGAGCGCTTAGATCAAACTCTGAATTGTATAACAATAAATTATGAGAATAAATGAAAGCAACGAGGCGCGAGACTGGTACCAGATCTAGCCTCGTGCTTCATTTATCGTCCCGTTCGTAAAGTTTTTGACACTCTGCCATATATTCCCGTCAGTTGTTCACGCCAGATGCGATTTACGTCGAATAAATTTTACTAATTATATCATTAGTATCAAAACGACATTTTGCGCGGCTAAAGCTATTATATCTCGGTCGTGCGGTTTAGCGGCCGCACGTAAGTTAGAAAATTCGTCGAGGCTGGTTGCCCGATTTTTGGATACGGTCACCGTCTCCGAGACAATTTCAACTCTGCGTTCAATACAAAATTCGCGGGTCGTGATAAAAGAACGACGAGGGAAATGAAAGAGAAAGAGAGAACTTAAACATTCTGCACGGGTTTCGGATTAAGCGGCTCGGTCGCCGATGATTTCGCCTTCTGCTGAGCCCTTCTCGCGGCTCGCCGTTTTCGGTCCTTCGCCTCCGCTCCTGCGGCCAGGAAATTGTTATGAAAGTACTCCTCGATCTCTGACAGCTTCTTTCCGTGCGTCTCCGGCAGCAGTAGCCACACAAAGATAGCTGCTCCTACGGAAACGCCGGCGAAGAACCACTGCACCGCGTACGAGCCTTGAAACATTAGAATTTTCTTATTGTTGATCAAGCTTCGTTCGAAGCTGCGTTTTGAGATTCTCTACCTTATAACTTTTATCGTTGAAATGATTAAAATCGTTAAGATTAGATAAAAAGAATTAAAAGAGAGCTAAGTAAACGATAAAAATATAAAAATATGCGAAAATAATCGTATGGAAGAGACATTGTTATAGATAAGATATCACACAGTACAATATATAATTTTGTGTCAGACATCGATATTATATACGTTATGAGATATAAATATTTCGAATGTCGTATACCTCCCAGGAAAGCTTGCAAGCTTCTATAGCTCTGCAGCGCGGCGAACATGAGCAGATTCGCCATCGAGAAACTGATGGAATGGGCGATCCCGCGGATTTCGGTCGGGAACAATTCCGCCGTCATGGTCCACGGAATGGTCAACATCCCGACCATCGACGTGCACACGTAAAGTAGCAGGCAAGCTACCGGTACCTGCGAACATTACATTGTTGCATTTTCTCGCGTGTCTTTGAAAAATCTTTGAATTTTACAAAAATCACACGAGGAATGAGCCTCGAACACTTACCCAGTATCCGCTTCGATCGCCATTCTGGATGTTTAGCGTGAAGTAACCGGAAACGATCATGCACAGCGCCATCCCGAAGGACGATATTATGCACAATGATCGTCTCCTGTATCGCCTCAGTAGCCAAGTGTTCACCATGGAGCACAGGAAACGCGTCAGGCCCACCAAAATCGATGCTAGGTATTCATCCACCCCCGTGCCCGCTTCCTGAAAATCGTAGAAAGTTTAACTAGTCTACCGCATCCATATATTATTAGTTACACAAATTGCGATCATCGGTAAATAAAACATCATTAAATATATATAAAATCATGATTGAATACAATTTACAAAATACGAGAGTGCAAAATGCATAAATCTATTGAATATATGTATAAATTACTTGGAACCAAGTCACGGCGTAGAACAGCGTGATGTAAATTCCAGAGAACTGCTGAAACGCGAAGAACAGGAAGAGTATCGCCATGGGCTTCCATCCGGTCGGTTTAAGGAATCCCCGCCATTTACTGAACGCGTTGCCGCGTTTGCTCCGCCGTTCCTCGTTCAATTTAATTTGGTGTTCCCTCATAATATTGCTAAATTGCGCCTCGGCCACCGACGTCTTGTTTTGCGATACCTCGTTCTTGTAAAGCCTACGAGCGACAGAATTGCCAATTATTTACGCGTGTGTTAAAAATATAAAAAAAAACTGCAGAGCCTTAAAAAATTTTAAACATTCATTTCGAAGAGCGTTAATTAATAAAATGAATTTATAGTAAATATCAGCTCCCACATTAGTTTTCAAGTGAACAGTAATCTTATTATAGTAATGGTCAGTTTTATTATTTTTGAGATCTGTAAGAATTTTGTCATTTAATAAGTAGATTGAATTTTTACCAGTCCAGAGACTTCCTGGCGGCGTCGATGCGGCCCTTCGAGACGAGCCAAACGGGCGACTCCGGCACCAGAAACTGCACCAGGAAGATGGGTACGAGCGAGTAGCAGAGGGTGATATAGGCGACTATTCTCCATTGTATGTAAGCGCCCTTCACGTAACACAGCACCATGCCGAATGATGCCAACGTCGGTCCGAATGAAATCAGGGAGCCGCGCAATTCCGGCCTGGCTACCTCGGTGATGTAGACGATTGCTGGCGAGGTCGCCAGGGCGGTCGCTAATCCAGTTAACAAACGACCGATCAGCAACATCGGTATATTGACCGATGTGGCGATGAGGATCCAACCGATCACAGCGGGAATCGCGCTGATTTGCAGAGTTCTCATTCGACCAAACATCTCCATCAGGACGCCGCCTAATAATGCACCAACCGGCGCGCTCACGACGGCCAGACTGGCTGAAAGGTCAGATTGATTTTATTTCTTTTACGCCCTTAGTCCTTAATTCATATATGAATTTTCTCTATACATTTCATCTTGCTTTATTGGCTCCGGCGCATTTTTTACTTTTCTCTTTTACCATTATAAAGAGAATATTTTTCCCCGACTAATCGTAGAGCCACCATTTTCAATCCTTTGCACACGTCTCAATAAAATCACAATTCGAATGATCGAATGAACCTAAGAGCTCGATTAGGGTTGTGGACTACGAACGTTGGCATTCTAAATTGAAAATTTGTTTATAGCCAAGAAAACAATCGTTGCCGCGAGAAGATTGCGATGCCGACGAGCATAGATTGATCTTGCGTAACGCGAATTTAATCAGAGCACGAAGATCGATCAGGCAACTCTCATGCAACAGGCACGCACGGCGACGTGCACATGTGGTTTTCTTCTGATAATTACAACAACTTTTACGTAATACGTCCACTCTCGTGAAGATGCCTTATCGATAGGGAAGACAGATTAACTGATAGCAATAATGACCGCGCGAAATCCGACGAGTCGTATTTACAAAATACTCATCTATTTTTTACGATAAATGTATCTAGTTTGAATAGACTATCATCTCGCGTCGTCACTGTTCTGAGTATTGATGAATGTATTAGTATGGCAGAGGAGGAGTATGCGTGATTATTCGTAATTCGTAATTGATATTACGTGCGTAATATCTCCTTGACGAAATAACGCGATTTACGACGCGTTATCATCTTTATCGCCGCGCGTATACGCTACACATTTACGCAATCTCACCTATCCAGGAAGTTTGCTCCTTCGTGGCGTACAACGGCGCGTCCTTCTTTTCGAGATGAGGAATGAGAGTTGCTGAATATGCCATTGTGAAGCCCACCGCTATGTGGAAAGACGCCGCGGTGATGCAGGCCATGATCTGCGAAGGTTCGAAAGCGACGTGCACAGCTTCCGCGAAACGAACACATTTCGCCTTGACTCTCTACTTTTCTACGATACTCTTAAACTCCGCGGAACAAACGAGAATACTTCCGAACTAATTTTTTGGTCTGAATATCTTTTCACTGCGATTTCTTTAAAATATCGAAAAATTGCCTTTGAAAGAGCTTATTATTTTTTAAAATAGAATTATTTATTGAAATGCGACAAATTTCATTATTAAACTTAATTTAATGATCGAATATTATTCAATCAGAAGGGCCTTTGAAAAGCTTTTCATCCGCATAGAAAACGAACTATCGCCCTAAAGTAAAAAGGTATAATTATCTCTCATGGGATAATGCCCGATAATTGATACCTCTCGAATGGCATTTCTAAGGTTCGTCGGTTCGACGAAACCTCTATTGAGACTCCGACTCGAGACGATCGCATCTTTAAAGCACTCTCGCTCGTTCTCCTCGATGTTCTTCGATGCCTCCCGCTCCACGCTGAAACACAACGGGATGGTCATCAATCGATCGTCAAATAGACTGAGAAGTAACATTGTACCGGCTCGCTTTTTACTGTGACTCGCACCTCTTTTTCGTGCCCGGTCACAATTTACGACGGCCGTTTATCACGTGTATATTTGACGTCCGGCGTGCCATTTAAATGACAGCACAACGAGTATCGTCTCGCTTGTATTCGTTTAAACTGCGGTTGTAATTCATAAATATTTATCGCTCCAATCCTCGCCGTGCGTGTTTTGGTTTCTCGCGAGTTTCGTATGTCAAAATGCAAATCAATTAATGGTGTATAATCCTTAAATTAAATTTCGATTTAATTAGGCCGTGTTATATTCGTTATAACGTTATAGTAAATGATACTCGAACATTTCTTATTATTGCAATAGCGACGATGCTGTATACATATTTAAAATAAATATCTCAATTAATAATGCGTCTCGGGTGAAATGCAATGGATCGTTCTTCGCTAATACGCGGACTGTGTCTTTACAATTCAAAATCTCGATCAATATTTTTTTTATTCTATTCTACAGTTTTACATTCAACATACATTTCTACCGTTTATAAACAGTTCGGTAAAAATGTATAGGTCTACTTGCAAAAAGCCAGCGCTATATTTATGATGCCATTTCGCAGCTTGATGTATACGAAAAAGTCATGTAACTTTCAGAAGCGACACAGCGATTACATTAAGTAAAGACATGCCATGTTCATCGGATTCTGTTTTCTCTCGTAGACGTTTTCCAAGCATCGAGCCTGATACGCCTATACGAATTACAAGAACTGGTTTCTCCGCGGGGGAATGGGGGTCTAACAGGGGTTTAACAGCGTGCCCCCTCATAATAGTTTCAAGTTTTCAGACGCAGTTCTGAATACATCATTGTCGCACCATTTTTATTTGCTGCAATAAGATGCCTGCGATAAATGTTTGAAATAAAATTTATCTAATTATGGCAATAAAGCTAATGGAGCTTGTGTGTTCGTACGAGTTAAAAAAGACAAAAATATATGCAGATAAAGGAACCGAATTTATTAAATATATCTTACTGTTGATTTGTGGTTTGGTCTATATTAATATATTATAGCTACGGGTATTTCATTCTTTTTATTCATTACGGTGATATTAAATATCCGTATATCAGTTCAGAGAATAGGATCTTAACCAACTGATTTACCATGTAAAGAAAGAGCCATGTAACACAAGCCACTGCGCCCGCTGGTTGTGTCTGCTAAACGTAGGCAAAACGATAGTTTTCCAGGCGATTGTCTCACATAACAATGAGATCACGCGGATCGGTTATCAAGCATGTTGCACTGTGACTCATTTATCGCAATGGATTAATTTATCGTCATTAATCAATGTCATTTTAATTGAATCGTTTTCAATTTTCAATTATGATTAACCTTAATCATATTTTTTTCGTTACCTAATATAAATATGCAGAACACTATTGGTCGTTTACGATTTTAATGATATGTTTTTTTAATACGTATCAAGTATTAATTTTTTTATTGCAAATCTGAATTTTTCCAAGCGTGATGATAACTTTCTTTACACGGGCACTTAGCTAACAATTAATTTACACGACGTAATACAGCGTTTGGAAACATTCTCGTCGAACGGACAATTGTTCTCATTGTCAGTTAAAAATAGAGCGACGATCTTGGTTAGATACAATTATGTACTTGATGAATTAACGCGCGTTAATTGACGTATTATTGAACACAGTTGAATCTGGTTTCTAGCCGTGACTTTAACTAAGCTAGACGACAAACAGATTATAGTTTAACAGATCTATTTCTAGCATACCGCTAGTTCTTTTAGGTGTTCTATTGAGTGTATTTTTTTAGATTCAACTAATTGCTTTATATTAGACAATTAAATTAGTTATTATATTACGATACTGCATGGATTATTTATTATGGTTATAGTAAAAATTTATGAAAACAGTTTCTGCATTTTCCAACTCAACACAATTTCCATATAAGACTTCAAACAATTACATTCCTTTGAATCACATTGCTTATGTGTAGGTGATAAATCTATATTTAGTAAGCAACGTTCAAAGGAGAATATAATTGTATATAGTGTAGAGATAAATTGTGCTTGTTGCTACGAAAATGTTTATATAGGATGTCCCCGTATAAGTGGCTACCACTTTTTATCTCGTAAACTAACAGAGATAGACCTAATAAATATAATATCAAATTAAACGACTTTGACTAACTTTATTGTAAGCACAGTTATCACTTAGAAATATTATCTATGTTAGAGAGCAGAAAGATATGACAACTTTTATCATATTAAAATTGTCCCTTTACAGTGCAAAAATTATGCATGTTTCTCCGCTCTCTAGCATAGATAATATTTCTAAGTGATTACTATGCTTACAATAAAGTTAGAGCCGTTTAATTTGATATTATATTTATTAAGTTTATCTCTGTTAGTTTACAAAATAAAAAGGGGTGGTTACTTATACGGGGACATCCTGTATATATAGCTAATTTGAATACAAAAAAATTGATAATCTCTACACGAAATTGTACTCGTTGAATTGCTCGTATAGCATTTTTAGGGTCAAAAATGCAGTTTCGTTTATCTGACGGAGATAAAAATGTGTTGTCGCAATCGTTGATTATATCATTTAAGAAATCCATACGTACGGGCAATGACTCGTCGATCACGATTCGCAATCACTACAATTACGTTAGAACGCACAATGATTTTCGTGGTGCATTGTTTTTCGCGTAATGTTTTCTTGAAATAATTTTAAGCTCGTCGGATTCCCATCCTCGAATCTATTTTCGATAAGGTCACGCTCGTGACTTCTCCGAAACGTCACACGAAACGTGCGCGATACAGAGTGTCAAATAAAACCGTCCCGAAATTCAACATTTATTCCTATCGATTACTTTATCTTGAAATGTTTAATCCTAAGAATTATTTTAACTTGAAACATTTAATGTTTAATGATCAATGTAATTCAAGTACTGATTTAGAAACTCGAAAACGTTTCACGGTCGTATACCGCGCGCTTCATCGAAAAATGAATGGAAAAAATCGACTTACATTCGCGCGAGGCAAGTCCATCGCAGGTATACACACTCGATGAACCACGTGTACTCCACGCAAACAATATGCTTGGACGCTCAGACTAAGTGCAACTTGTCGTGCATGCCGGTCCTTTATTTTTTCCTGATACTTTTGCATATAGTCAGAACAGGAAGAAGGCCAGGTCGGACTTGTCATTCATCGGCCATATAACCGCCCATCCCGTATTCAGTGTGCATCGCAATTTATTACGCTAACATAAGCTAAAGACTATACCGAGTTTCTCGCGGAAAAATCCACAGCGGCACGTGGCGAACGTATGTAAGTAAATTGCCGGCTCTTGAAATATCGATTCTATTTATGAAGACATGAGGATTCGCGCGCGCGGACACTTTTACGGCGGTCTATACGTCGGCCGTCTGAATTTTTTATTCCGCTACCCGCAACAGTTGGCAATTGTTATTGCGAGCGCGCGCTTGCTGTTTGACATTTCACGTCGCATGAGCAAAAGGCGGGGAGCCGTTTCACTTCGACTTATACACGTCGTCGTCGGGGATCTAATTACTACATCAGCTGACTACATACTTTACGTGCTCTTGCAGGGGGAGTATAGCCACTCGCGGGACTTATCACGCGACACTACTTGCTCGTTCAACTCTCCAGACGTATCGGCACCTGCACTTCTTTGCTTTTTTTTTCTTATTATTTTAATGTAACGAATGTAGTCTTTGACGGCGCGTTTATTATTCCACGCGAGTTCCGCGTCGCGAATTGCGGCCACTGTCGGTCGAAGGATCCTTTGCGGGATCATCCTATGGCTAAAAGTAGACGCGTTACTCCGAACTGGCGTAATTCACTCGCGCGGCATTAACCTTGGCCCTGATTCAACAAAGCTACCAACAATGCCTAGCGTGACATAGCAGCCAGACAAATTGTGGAATGTGTTTTCGATACTGTTTTCCGGTCAATATATTTTATTTTCCAGCGTTACCCTCGAAAATCACAGTCAGTTCGAGTTCGAGAAATAGAGGTGTGAGAGAATAAATAATTTGCAACACGTGCACGCGGAGATAATTCCAAATATGCGATGACGTTAAACCATTATCGATAACACGCATATGTGACGCGATTATCGTAAATGGATCCAATATATCGCTGAAAACGATTTTCCCGGTACCTGCATTAGCGATCGAATTATGTCAAGTGTAATCTCTTTGATAAGACAAAGATTATCCCGTCATTTTATCACAGTATATTACGTTTATCGTGAGTGTGCTCTCTCTACCTTGTTATCCTATTGATTAAACAGTGCACAACGGTCCGATAATCAAATTTGCGAGATGACTAGATCGTCAAATCCTAGTTGAAACACTCGCGAGACTACTTTATAGCTTCCTTGCGTTCCGATTTGGAATCATGATCATTTTCTGTGCTACGACATGCACGAGTTACATCATCGATCATTTCGCGTCGCGCACACGTGATGCGTTTCTCGTGCCAAAGCAGATAGCGAGGGGATTTTGAAGTTATGTCCAGCAATCTTTGTTTATTCTACGAGACGAGTACGTAAATGTCCATAATGACGATTATGTTAATAATCGTCGATTCGAGAATAATTATCTCTCTTTGCCAGTTTTTCTTCGCTGAAGATACCGGTAGACAAAGGACATATGTATGTGCGATAACGATGGCGCGGGTGTGCGGAAGAAGTATTCAGTTCCACCAACGCGACGCGGCGACGTCTTTACGACATTCGAGAGACAATTTGTCACGAGAAGCTAACGTCACACGCATAACTCGAGGTCAAAGATTAATTGGCGAGCGATCACGCAATCGAGTGTCCATTCGCGAGGCCTCCTTTTGACTATGATCTCAAAAATCCGTTGCCGAAAAAACCGTTTAATTGAAAATTTTTAATTGAAAAAAAAACATCTGAAGATCCGAAACGTGTTGATCGAGCCTTTAAAGGTCTTGTTAATTGTCTTCGGTTAAGATATTATTATTATCTCGATATTAATAATTTTAAATAAGATCATTCCTTTATTTTATTAGAATTATTGAATTAATAGCTATTTTTAAACTTGCAGTAGAACTTGACGTGATTTGAATTTTAAATTGCTGCATTATCAACGATGATTTAGCAATTCACTTTTATGTATTCGCCATTATCTAAATTTTTAAGTCAGTAAAAATTAAAGTTATTTTACTTTTTTTCCATATGCGATAATTCCATTTTCAATAACACATTACTCTCAAATTCTTTTCGATAATTTCGATAACTTTTCAATGATTTAAAAATAACACGTCGTATATGTTTATGCAATTACAATGACGAAATCGAATTATAATTTGAGTCATACCTCTGCCAAATCGAAAAACTTCAACTTTACGCCGACAAAAAAAAACTGGTTTCTCGAATAAGTCTTCCTGTTAAAATAGCCGCGGGCACTCGTTTGCGTTTTAAAAGACGTCCGTCATATGCTTATTCCGGCTTAAAATTGTATCCTGATAATTGTGTAACTTTTCGGACGGAAATTGTCTTGCAGCGACAATTCGGCGTTCTCACATTAAATCGTAAGCTCGAAGTTAAATTGACATTACGATATTTTTCGCATTTCCGTTATGAAAATAAAGAGAAAGAATTTCAGAGGAGTTTTCAACACTTAAAAAAAATAATCAAGTATCTCGAGACATGCCTTTTCGCCGAAATGCAAAATACAAGTTTTTTAAAGAATACTAAATTTCTGAAGGATAAAAACATCCGGACAAATACAAAAGCATTTAGGGACCTGCTTTTTCACACAGAAAATGTCGGAGTAAGATATTAACAGACAACAGAATAACTGTATATCTTAGACATGGCTTTATTTTCTGTAGAAATAATAAAGAAGGAAGGATTGTCTATAAGAAATTTGTAAATAACTCTCCAAAAGGCCTTCCAAAATATATATCTAAACTAAATACAAAGATTAGATATCTTACAATTAGTATGTACTTTTATAGAAGAGATAATATATGATGAGCTATAAAAAAAATCAGGCTACAGAACGTTATATACTTGAGAGCTTGGCCATGTGTTATGTACATTAGGCACAAGAAAGCAAGAAGGAACAAAGACAAAAGGGCGCCCCAACAAAGAGCAAGGAAAAACTCTGACGGGCCTAATTCAAAAGTTTTGATGGATCGTTCTGGTAGAAATGAATTTTGTGTTTACTTATTCAATTGTCAGCACCCACCTCTTTGTGATAAAAGAAGGACCGACGAAGAACCCCTCGTGTTTCTTATCGAAATCCGAAGAATGAGCTCAAAATCGAGATCATTGTCTAAATACTCTAAATAGTCTAAATAATAAATCTCAAGTTTATGTTCATCTCGTCTTTATCGTTTTCAAACGCTCGCATTAATTACAGAATCAACAAACTGCGGAAAAAATGTCGAAAAATTTTGCAGATATCGATTTACAAGAGACAATCGAAGTACAATTGTCCTCTTCTAAGTTTTGTAATGGCGATCTGTTTGACGGGGAACAAATTTATCTCGGTAATGGGTTCTCACCTTAATGAATAAGGATCCATTATGTTTCTTTCTTCTCAATTGGACTGCTATTCGATGCACGCGCGTCCGTCTGTTTTCCCTTCTGCTGATTAGCGCTATAGTCAAGTAGGCGTCTTCCTACGAGTAGGCCCTCGTCAACTCTGCCCGACGTTAGCCAACATATTTTATAATCTGAAATTAAAGTCGCAATACCACTAGAATTATTAATGTGTAACATTACAATTATGTAACATTAAAAATTTTCCTCTACTTGTTACGTAAATATATGTGCAGCATCATGGGTGCATCCAGGAGCGCAAGCGTTTAGTGAACTCTTGTATCTGATTGGTATATTCCTCTAGAATAAGAAATCTAAAATATCGAAAAAGAAATCTAAAAATATAGGCCAAACAGATGCAAGAGCTCACTGAGCGCTCAGTGAACGGTTGCGCTCTTGGATGCACCATTGTGTGTGCAACATCAGCATTCTTCTATCCGAATTCTGCTTACAAGTTACAAAATACAGATTCGATTTTTGAGCAACTATATACTCGACCCGCTGAGTAACGTTGTCTCACACACAATTATCTTAACACGTCTTAAAACAAAAAGCATCCAATATCTCGGTCACAGTGATGCTGCAATTTTTGTGATTATTGCACCGCGCGCTGGACGGTGATTTTCTATGTCGGATGCAAAACCGATTTTTCTCCTTGCGCCGTTGCGCGTCGCGATCGATGCAAGAAAACGGCAAGATACGCTGGTTTTCCACTACTTAATTCTTCCCCTCTCGTTCTTCCTTTCTTTCTTTTTCTCTTTTTCGATCTTATATATCGATCCATGGTATAACGCGTTTAAATCAAGCTCGAAATCGGCCATGAAAGCTTGCATTTTATCGTTTCTTTTCTTTGATTAATAGATTATTAGATTAAGATAAAATAATAAAGAGAGAGAAATGGGACCACGAATTTCGAGTGATTATCATTAGTCGTTCATTCTCTCGTGGCCATTACGAGCCTCTCTTCTTTTTACATACTTATTCGCAGGAAATGAGTTACATCGGTGCAATTCGTGCCGAGTAAACGAGCGTTCGCACGGATTGCCGCCTCGTTTCAGTGATTTCTACGCTCTAGCACGGATGGCCATCAGTGGTGTTTCTCTCCGGTGACTAACGATCGCCATGGGTCCCAAGAAGAATCGAGCCCGGCGCCCGTCGTATGTACAACCGGCGATTTCATCTAAATTGCTCGCACGCGCGCGTGTCTTATCCGACTTTCATCCCGCATAGCTTCCACCAACGACTTGCGAGCGTCAATAAATCGAGAAAACCACTGGCCATCGAGTCCGAAGTTTAACACCTTGGCGGAGAATATAAAAACTGTTCGAGTGACAAGATAAAACAGTCATGGAAATAACTTTTTGATTGACAGACTCATATCGCAGAAATAAAATCTCATTAATAATGACGCTGTTTAATCAGGCTGATACGATTTCGCGCTCGATCATATGAACGAATGTTACTGTTATTCGCGATAAAATCTCGCACGAGAGAAGAAAAAGCGTCACTGCATGGCAGCCGTTGCGTCGATTTTTTTTCTACTCACCCGCGCGAAAAAAAATGGTCGGCGTTCACGGATAATTTATGCATGTCTCGGCGCAAGAAACACTCGCGGCAAACACCGTAATTGTTAGAGCGCGAGTTGGAGAGCGATCCATCATGTTGCGATAAACGGCGATTTATTGGCGGATATTAAAAACTCGAGAAAATTCTGCAAATTCCCGGGATAAGAGTCGGTGCGCGGTAATATGCAACTTTCCTCGCAGCATTTCGAGGAGTCTTCCAATACGTGGACGCATTTAGCGCCGTGAAAGCGATGCGCCTTCTAAACTGTCTCTCACGACGAGCACTAAAACTTTAGGCTGTTAGAAAAAGAAAATCGTCGTATTTTGCGACAAATTATAATTACAAAATATTTCGATTATTTCTTTTCGTGTCTGCAAGCTCACATATGGCGTCTATTCAATTGTATTTTACATATGTTATATCTTATCTTTTTTATAAATTATAATTTAAAATTATTTTAATTCTACTTTATGCTGACGCAAAAGATATTTAATTTTTCATCATAGACATCACCTCAACATTTCGAGTTGTATGATCAATCGGCAAAGTTTGATCTCGGACTAAACGACATTGGCTGCATCCACGAGTGTATAGACGCGACTCGTAGATGCAGGCGGAAAATTATGCCGATTATGCGTTTAAAATTGCACCAACACAAGTCTGAGCTAAGCAAATCTTCGAGATTACAATCTCACAATATACACAGATGGGCAAAGGAATAATTCTCGTATGAGGTCAGGCTAGCTAGTTCCGGCTTCGTGTAAAATCAGAGTTATAGGTAACATGCTCCTTTTTTTAAATCTCTTTTGCAATAAAAACACATCAAAGAAAATAAATCGTTTGACTCTCCATCGGCTTTGCGTAAACCCGATGCAGGCGATGTTGGTGCAATCGATTCTCCAACGTCCTACGAGATTCTCGTAACATCACCGAGAGAGACAGGTTGATCGTCACTTCGCGAGGTGAAGATCGTAAACCTATTGCGATATTGCACGAGAAAGCAAATTGCGCAACTGTGTTGGCGGAAACAAATTAAGTGTGAGCATTGCGACCGATTTGACTTGAACGCGTAATATGGGTCGACGTATAAGCTTCGAAATTTAACGCAATGAGAAAAGCATGCGACAAGACGGCAACCTCTGTCGTCGTCGAAAATCGAATTCTCAGAAGCTACGAGTCTCAACGTTAATTAATTAAAATGTAAACATTATAGAATTGTACTCTGGTCATCAATTACGTTGCAACATTGATATCGTTCGATGAATGAGTATCAAACGCAATCAAATTTTCTATCGTAATCCGATAAACAGATAACATTCTATTTTTTCATGCATTCTTGAAAATTCTTTCCGATAAGAATTCACGTTTCATATAATTCATCGATCTCTTGGTCGGATTTCCATACTTTCGGAGAGATCTTACATTTTTATTTTCCTACTAAATCAAAATGCTATCAGATTTATTAAAAAAAAGGAAATGTTCACTGCAAAAATCCAATTATTTATAATCCACTTTTAGTATGATTTGTTTTCAGTACAAATTTAATTCATACGAAGGAAAAAGAGTCTTCGCTGCAAGACAATGATGACTCCCTTCTATATGATATTTGTTTTTAATAAAAATTTGAATAAAAATCGCCTTTTCTCGCAACGTATCGATGAATTATTCTTTTTTTTACATATTTCTGCGATTAACTCGAATTATAATTCGGTTAGAATGTTTGTTTTAAAGACGTTGATTTTATAAAGTCATGTTGACCTTAAAATTCGATGTTACGAGTCTTGCTCCTTGTACAGAGATATAGAAAACTATAGTTTATGCGCGATGAAAATTTCCACGAATTTTAAAATCAATTTGACGTCGGACGTTCTGATGGCCCTGCTTTCTCATTGGAAGGTACGCTTCTAATGTTTACAAGAACCCGCGAGAATCGGTCGATTCGCAGCGGATCAACGCCCCGACATGGTATCACGTCTCAAAGGACTGATAGTAAATAAACCAATAGGTACGCGCATTGTCAGTACGATCCGTCCCTTTTGGATGTATTTGATGCTCGAGTGTACAGTTATTTCCTTCTAAATGCGGACAATGTCGAGAAAAAAATGCAGATAGAACGAGTTAACTTGACAAGTAATAGCCATTTGACGACAGTTTAAAATTATCGTTCGCGATACTGATAACATCCCTCTTTTTCTGTCAAGTAACAATAATAAATAACAATAAGTGTCTCACAGAATATATAAATTAATCGAAAATATGTACAGAAAAGTCTCAAATGAATAAAGTTAAAGAATTCCGGGCATTATTTTATAAAATTTCTAAAATTCGGGAGACTCACGAAATTTGAGCTGCTAGATGATCGAATTACACGTGAATTCACATCCATCCGGTCGAGCACTCACCTTTCCAGGCCACAACAGGAATCGATCCTCTGAGCGTCGCGCATACGTTCACGAAGGGCAGAGAAAAGCTGATTGGGAAAACAGCTGTGGCCAGGAACTCCTCTCTTTCTCTTTATCTCTCTCTCTCTCTCTCTTGCTCTTCCCTTTTCCCTCTTCTTTCTTGTATCTGTGGCGGAATTATTTTCGTGGGTAAGAAGGGAATAGCGTGGAAGAGAGACGCGACGCGCGATCGACCGGCGAACGTGCGACCGGACTTTCCTGCTCGGCGGCTGCTAGACGACTGAGCCTTGAAAACCTCGTTGCCTCGTTCCTCTACGTACTCCTTCCCTGTCAGCCTCGTGTTCTGTCTGCGTTACATCAGCGTCATCCACATGGTGGTGGTTTGTCTAAGGGTTGCCGAGGCTCTGCCATCACTAGTCGACGCGCCAGTTCGGCCGATCTCTAAGCCTATCCGGCTGCACGATTCTTCGCTTTGTTTGCGTAGTAATATAAAATTAATATATTTTTTGGAAGAATATACCTGATTGTGACAAAATTGTAGCAACGTTGTATTCTTCACATTAATTTCACAATCGCAAGATGCGCTAATCGTGAAAAAATTGCAATAATGAATTTTTATTGACCGAATTAATTAGAATCGCTGCGTGAGAGGTCGATGTGATCGTGGCTTACTTTTCTTTTATATATACGCTCCCGCTCTTTTCCCAGCTTCCGCGTGATAAGTAAATTTATAGCCTTGTTTTTTATTAGTTCTCGAAAGAATTGCTTTCGAAAAAGGAAAACGGGGCTGATCCGTACGATACTTACTCGAGTTATTTAGAACCAAGAACCTTCGTCAATAAATGAAAGATAATTCCTCGGAATGTTATTGTCATTAAAGATGGAAAGGTCGCTCTTAATTTTACTCAAAGATTTTCAGGCAAAAACGCCTCAGGCTAAAACTTGCCATTATTTAACCGAAATATCTTTAAGAGTTTGAACCGTTCTAAAAAGAATCCAAGAAAATTAAAATTTATTCATATTTAATTAAATAACGTAACCCTTGTTAATTATTTATAGAAATTTAATTTATAATATATTAATATAATAAAATAAAAGATATTTGGTTCAGAAAAAAAACAAAAAAAAATGAAAAAGAGGAAACGTAAAGTTAACGATATGATTAATAAATTTTTGCCTGTTCACAAAGTTGCGAAATAATTATTTATTTCCTCATGATATAAGATATACGTCCAATTCTGATAAAAGAAGATCTATCAAAGTCGCCCCGCGCGTTATGTACTCTACACGTTATATTATCTTGTATATTGATCCACGCAAAATTGATGACTCATTTCCCAACATATCCACCCCAGGTAGCAAGCTGACATTATTTGCCGTCATTTCGACGTCAAAATAACATTTTTAGTGGCATTTTGATGTCAAATAACGGCAAATAATGCTTGCTACCTGGAATCGCGCCTACCGTTTTGCCTTCTGTGCCATCCCCCGCTTATCCTTAATCTTTGGCGTTATCGGCGTGAGAATAAGAAATGTTTGCACAGTGCGTATATCGGCGCGCTTGGAATTAATGGAATTCTTCCGTCTGTGAATCAGCTGTTCTCGAGAAAAGCGGGTACCGCGCGATCGCGCAACCGGCAATCCGAGATCTATTGTGCAGCGCAGGATGAACGCGGAAGATTAATTTTGCACTGCGATAACACTTTAACGGTGACACTTTTCAATACCTCGCACGATGCGATGCGTATTACGTAAATATGTAGAAATTCTAGTCGCGTAGCATATAATTTCCTAATCACGATGAAAAGGGAAAAAACAACGCTATCGCGCGCATATGAATTATGCGAATTTAGTAAATTTTAAATTTTACTCTAAAATAAGACCTTTTTTCTTTTAACCTCGATTGCAGTCACTGATGTTAGAGCTTACGCGCCGTCTCACGCGAGCGAAGTAATAACATCAAAACATCCGTCTTATCGCTCACATTATAATGACGGGCGTGACGAACTTTTTTTCTTTCCTTCCGCGGAACTTCGAAAGGCATTTTTATCACGTGCGTCTCGCGTGATTTACATAATCATTACGCGCCGCTGTTACATTTCGCGCTTTCTCTCTCTCCCCCCCTCTCTCTCTCCCTCTCTTTCTCTCTCTGTTTTTTATTTCCTGTTACATATAGAGATGAAAAATCTAAAAATAAAACTAAAGACGAGCAACAGAAATAAATATAAAGGCGGTACAATCCAGAATTTTTCCAGATTATGTCATGAATTACCGGGTGTTCGGTAATTTACAATCATTTCTCAAGTTCAATTGCTCACTTGACCCGGCTTAATTGACCGGTATACGTATCACCGTTTATTGTTACGGATCATGCTGTATAAACGTGTTCGAGGCGTCCGTAACAAAACGATTTCCGACTCAATAGATGCTAATGACGCTTTGTCGCCGAAAGCTGAGAAATATATTTCTTTTAAAATTAATATATCTTACGTGCATTTTTAAACGAGTAGTATTGTATAAAAAAAAATAAATAAAAATATGTTGCAAAATTATAAATAATTATAATACTAATAATTTTGTTAACAATATTCACTTTTAGTTATATGTTGATTTTTCGCGATTTAAATTAATACCTACGCGAAATCATTTATAAAATTTTAATTTTTAACATAATTTTAATTAAATTAAATCCTACTCCTACCTTATCAGAGCGCAATGATAAAATGGCAATCCTCTTTATCTTAAGGTCGGTAAATAAGTGTACTGCATTTTCGGCCTACTTTCAAACCTCGCACCGCACGGTGCACAGTCCTATCGGAGAAAAATGGCGGTGTGGAGCAGCATTTTGCGTGCCGCGAGGCAAAGATTGCTGCAGAACGGCGGCTCCGGGACGGTGCTGTTGAAGAATGGTGATTATCCATGGGCGGTTGCTCGCGATTACGATCGTCGAACGAGTGCCTTTTATTTTATCGATTCGCATTCTGCGAAAACCGACGGTGTTTTGTTACGCAACGATCGCACAGTGTATTTTTGAGCGCATGATTTTTTTCGGACGTGTCGCAGAACAAATCGAGACACGTCCGAATAGAGATATAAATGCGCAGTTACGAAACGTTATCGTTTCTTAATTATTCGTCACTAATTTCGATAACCATATTTTTTCTCCTTCTGAGAATGACAGTACCGACATCTTACACACACACATATACACACATACATACACACAGAGCATGTGACATAATGTCGTATTATAAAAAATCCATAGTGAGTTTGTTTGTCTCTACGTTATTACAAGTGATTCCGATCTACTGTCATTGACCCCCTATTAACGGTCTACATTTCATTGTCATAAGTTCAATCGTCAAATTTATCGAAATGTGAACATGTGATTATATACATGTCAATTGGTTGTTTGGAATTTTACCGGCATGGAATTTTCGACCTCTCCCCGAGAGGATCTCTATTGATCCACTTCATAGCACTGCACAGCAGCGCGAACGTCAGAGATCCTCTCTTGTGTTTCCAGGACAAGCGAGATGCATGTCGGAAGAGCGCACGTTCGTCATACGACCGAGCCGCTTCCAGTGGCACAAAACGAAAGATTATTTCCACTTGTACTTCTTACTCGGTGCCATTCCCGTTGGGATCGGGATCACCCTGGTTAACGTGTTCGTCGGTCCTGCCACGCTCGAGGAGATCCCCGAGGGCTACGTTCCAAAGGAATGGGAGTACCTTCAGGTAAGATCTTGATGCTTGACCGAAGGAAATATACGTTTATTGAAATATATTTTTTACCTTTCGAACGTGTTTATATATGAAAACAGTAACTATCGAAAAACCTTAACGATCCTCGACTCTTGTTTTGTTTCAGCATCCAATTAAAAGATTCCTCCAACGCTACTTCTTCCCGTCGCCGCAGCAGGAATACGAGAAGTATCTGCACTACATGTACCACGAGAACCAGCTCAGGAAAGTGAGGCTTCTTGAACAGCAGGTGTACAACGCGATGGGCACGAAAGGCGATTACAGAGGTCCGTACTTCAAGGAGTTCTACGGCGCCAAGTATCTTCACCTGCACAGAAAGTCTTTGGACGAAAACATCGAGGCGACCGAATAAATTTGATTTCATTCTGCTTGTAACGATTAATTTTAATTCGAGAGCACCGTGGAAACTGGGGGAAATTGTTCAATCGGGTGTAGATATAATAATACGTAGATCCCGCGTGCTCTAGGACTTGGTTATTATTTATGCTGCAGAGTAAACCCTGCGCGGTCAGATCTCTGCCGATAAATACGTCACATTGTACAGTTACTACAACATAGTTAATAAAGTCTTGATTAAAATTTTCCCTGGGCGAAAGTACGACGCACCGAAATGAGTTTTTTCCTTGCAACTTGCGTATAAATATTATATAAAATAATATAAAATATCAGTTTTAAAATTCTATTTATTTTTAGAGAATAATTTGACGATCTGTGCTTTTCTCGCTTCCTGCGAAAAAAGTGTTATACGTTAAATTGATAGAAATAGATATCTCTTAGTTGTCGCATACATAGTTTGAAAATGATTGATCATCCGCACGTTCGCACAATTAGTAAAAACGTTAGATAATCATTGCGGCGTTTCTCTTCATTCATGAAGACCACCTGCGCGCTATCAGCAGAGGTGCAAATCATTCCCCATAATGACACTAATTTCTTCGGATGGCAATTTACGGTTAACCGCAAATCCGTTAATAATTCCTTTTTGAATCCGGATCGGGTTTTACAGCAGGAGCTACAACGATCAAGGCGCATAATCGACATTTATTTCAATTATGTAAAACCGATTATAACTTTTATTTCTATAAATTTATTTTACCTCATACATTTCGCCCGAAATGAAGAACGCGAATTGAATTTCGGCAGGCTCGACAGACAGGAGAGAGCCAATGTCGCGACCGCGTGACATAAATCAAAGCGTATTGTCAAAAATGAATACGGCTCGATAATTACAATAAGCAGTTTATTTTCGAGTTCAATTAAGAACCTTGGCCGCGGGGTCGAACGGATTGTCGACTTTTTTTTAGCGCGGATTCTCTGTCTTTTTTTCTCTCCCCGTGCTGAAAGAGCGACCGCTGTCATGTGAGCTGTCTCACGAATATAGCGGACATTTCCGCTTCCTCTCGTTTCCGTAAAACATTTTTACATCGTCCTCGCAAAACCCTTTCGGCCTCCAGTCGACGATCGCACCACGTGTCGCGCAACAATACGTTTCGTTGCGTCATTACGATTATCTGTAACACAGTCCTTCCAGTAATGGGATGCGAGTCGTATTCTGTTTCAGCATTACGCATATCGTTCTTGCTATTGTCCGAGGATTTTGTGATAACGCTAAAGATTCTTAGCACTATCACCAACGCATATAAAATTCTTAGATTCGGAATCGACGTTTTCTTCTAAAAAATATCGAACCCCCTTTGGGGGAAATACATAATAAAATCATATCTTTTAATTTCAAGTAAAATATTGTTCACTTCAACTTTGAAACTTCAGTTATAAGCAAAAATCGAAAAAATTATTTAAATTTTAAAAAGGAAAATGGCGCAATATCGGACAATGACAAATCTCAAATAAATATTGTTTACGTGGAATTTCAATCAGATAATTACACTGTACAACAAGGATTTTCATGACATGTGGCAGGTGAATGCCAAAAAATTTTGTCACGTTATTTATTTATCTTTTTTTTTACAGTTGTAGCTTAACGTTCAAGCTTTCATTCGAGCTAATTACCGAATTTCTATGATGTTCCATTTTTTTAAACAACTTCAAAAATGGCTAAAATCGCGTTTTTTACTCTTTTAACCCGGTTATTCTCAAAAATCTGACACGCTCGAGCATTTTTATTAACGAATTTGTAATCTACAGAAAAAAAATATCAGAATCACCTGCTACATGTCATGAAACACGAAAAATGTTTAAAAAATTGTACAGTGTTATTTAAAAGAAAGGCAGTGTCGTCAGCGTAAGATCGACTTCGCGATCTCTAATCAAGAAACTTCCACGTGGATGATATCAGTTGACAGTTGTGGGTTTGCGACCTGTCAGACGAAAAACGATAAAAAAAATAGGGTGTTTGTTGCAGCTTCTGCGGAAAACGTCCCGTTTTTTATGCGCCCGCCTCCCACGATCCTCGGTGATAACGCGATTGTCCTGTCGGCGCGTTAACGACACGTTGATCGTCAGTGTAACTCACAGCGACAGTGGTCATTGTCAAGGCCGCCTGGCCGTATCTTGCATAATGCGTTATACTCGTGTACGAATACTGCTCTCGACTCGCGAGTCGGCGGGCGCGCAAACAGGCGACCGGCTCAGTGCAAATTCAATTCGTATTTGTCACTCTCTTTGTCCGCGCTTTATCCGCATTTGAATATACATATGTATATACGTATAATCGTTAAATCTTCATAATTTCTTGCATAATAACGTCCGACAATCGCGCGAACACCCGCGAACTGTTGGTCATTCGTTAGCCGCCGACAGTGTGACGTTATGACGCTATTCACACGTTTTCCGCCCTGGTTTGACAGATATGTATACTTTTAATTAATGTGCGAATTCCGAGAATAAAGCAGGCGACTAATGTAACACTTCCGCAACTGTTGTGACGCATTTCCTTTTTTACATAATTTTAAAAATTTTCAAAATATATATACGTACGAGCTATTAATATTGCAATTAAAGAAAAAAAATCATTTGTTATTATGTCTATACGTGTATACAGTAGAGAGTCCGTGATGTAACATTTTCCACTTCATCGCCGATTTTATCGCGACATTTCCGCCTTCTCTTTCATCCTAAAAAATCGGCGTCTGTCACTAAATCTAATGACTTCGCTGGATGCTCGATTGACTCTCGGCAGTCTCGGCGAAAGTTTGCTCGAGTTCGGCGGCACTTTACAGTTCTCGTGCAACGAGTCTGCGGGATGACTCTGCAACACGGTACGTGTTGTCGTCCTTTAAAAATTAGTTAACGTTTAGTAACGCGAGAGAGAAAGATAGGGTGAGGGTAAAATTAGTCGATTAAATATAATATTTGATAAGTGCTCAAATTTTGTCGTCGCCGACGAATGTAAATCGTGCAATCTAGAGAAAATTTCTTGCCAGTGACTATTGCAAAATTTGTTTGCAACAACAAAAAATGCATACGTCCAATGATATGCGCGCTCGATTAATTGTCGTACTTTATTTTTTTTCGGATAATACAGCTTATCGTCTTCGATTGTAGGCCTCGCATTATGGCAGGCTGAATCATTGGTAATTACGTTACGTCTCGTGTGTTGTGTACGTTCTTGTGAATTCAGAATGAAGTACGATAAACCTGTTGTAGCGTACGTGCGAATTACGGCGTGGGGCATACACGTGTATAATCGCACGGTCGTTCAAGTGCAACGAGGTCATAAACGCGTTACGAGAAATTTCTAAAATCCTTCATAATAAACGCGTAATCAGCGTCTATGAGATAATGAGATAACCGTTCTCCACCGTCAATTGTTATCATAATTAAAGCTCGTCTTAAAGCAAATCGCCCGCGCGGATCCGCAACTGTTGCGGAGATAGAAAATACACATATATTCAGGGTTAATCACACGCGACGTGCGACACGCCTTAAATCGTACGACTGCTTCTCACCCCGTTGTTATATCATAATTATATAATGATACGTAATAACGAGACGCGATGCCGGAATGGCTTTATCCTTCAATCCGCGCAAACCGATTCCGGTCTTCCTTCGCGAACGTTTCCGCATTCCGGTGGAAACGTTTGCTCAGGAATCGATTATTATAATTAATAATTATACGAACGTGTGTGCGCGCGCGCGTGTAAAGTAAAACTTTCCTTTCATCACTCCATAAAGCTTTCTTTAAGCGATTGTGGCATTGCGAGACGATACGAATTTCAATGCATTTCAATGTGCGAAAAAAAATTTTATCCTCTGTTATTATTTATTCTGCAAATTACCACGATTAAAATCTAAAGAAATCTTCAAATTTTCATGGCGTCGCACGAGAAAAAAAAATGCTGTCCGACGTGATAGATTTTTAAGGATAGAGCAAGGTGAAGGTTGGACTCTCGAAGACGTCGCGACGTACACGCGAATGATGGATCCGTAATCAGCTTCTTGCGCTGGGGCATCGTAACGTAGCATTTACATCCGTAACGATATAGTACAGGGATACTTCTCTTATGCAATTTCGCGTGTACGACATCTTAGTATCGTATTAGCATCAGGAAGTTAAGATTGCACGTCGCAATCGATCGTCGCCGTCGTAATACGCGAGATTATGCGATAACGCAAGAAATTCACCGCATCTTGATTGCACTTTTACCGTCCCCGTACCGAGATTGTCGTTATGTATCGGTCGCCCTCGCACGCTTCAATTGCAGTTGTTTCACCAGGAAAAATGCCATACGGCCATACCTTTGAAATCACAACAGATGGTATAATGGCCCACGCTGCACGCGATCTCGTTGAAATGAATCTCGGCGGCCACTGTCAACGAGCAGATGACAGCGAAAGCTGTTAACGTAATAAGCATCCTCGTGACTCGCGACCTGGGAAACTAGAAAAGAATAGAGTCGTTAATTCTTCTTTTTTTCGATTGCAAATCCTTGATCTTTTGAGGAAAGTCCCGCATGGTTTTCTTCAGGTTTTATTAGAAGTTTTGCGGAAAAGAGTTACAAATTCCTTGCCCAAGATTTATTAATTACGAATTAAATATATATTTCGATACATTTGTTTAATTATAGCTAAGTTGCTCTCGCATGTAAACGTCGATGAAAATTGTAAAGAGTATCGCAAAGCGATTCACGATCAACTGTCAATCCCTGAGGTAAAACGTGAATTTTCCTGTTATCAATTATCTGGAGATAATCCTCTGGAGATTCTATTGACGACAGAAGGTCGTCGTAAATCGGAAACGGAAGTAACCGCGAGGGTTGCGGGCTCCGGCGATTTACATAAAAGTCGTTTGTCACGAAGACAGTTGCTTCCTGAATTAAAACTGATCCTTGAGCGTGCTTCCTGATCGGGGACTTTCGTTCGTTCATCCGCATCATCGTCGAGATCAACGGGCCGAGACCTTCGAACGGAAATACCGGAAATAGACTTCGTCACTTCGGATCCTTTCTAACAATCTCTCGTGATACGCGATTTACAAACTTATACTTTTCGAGAACGAGATTAAAAAATTGGAAAATTGCACTTTGATTTTATTTAGCATATCTGCTAAAAAAATAATAATAATTCGAAATTTGTGAAGGGAGTTTTTGCTCGCATTTCTTTCCTTTGTTGAAAGTCGAGCGTTTTTATACGTTTTTTTGATACGTCGTCATGTCGAAAATATAACATAAAACCAATTTGTATCAAATCCGCACAACAACGCGATCCGCGACAGACTGACGTCTAGCTGTGAATTAATTCATTAATCATATCGCGAACGGGAGAATAGGTGAGGATTAATCTACCGGATTGATCTGCGTTATACGAGCTTATGGATATTACGGCGTCCATAAATTACGGTTGCTATCGGGTATCGACACGAATAAGAATGGTCCACCCGCGCAAATTATCTTCGCGCGTTATGCGATATTATAAATTATAATATAATTATGCGATGAAATTCGAGGAAATAACCATAAGAAAATTATCATTATCTGCAGTTATCGCATAATAAAATACTGTGCAATAAATAATGATAGACTTATTTTGTGAATAACTTTGTAATGAAAAGAATTCTATAAAGTTGTAGTATTATATCAAGCTTTCTTAGAAGGAGATTAAAAGAGGGCGATCGACACGAGAGGCAGAGAGAGAGAGAGAGAGAGGGAGGGGGGAGACAATATAAGAATAAAATGCGTTTTCGCAGGCATTTTCGCGGGTCAGGGACGCGCAGGCACGAGAGCGCACCGCTAATCGCGACTGCTTCTATTGTCGTTAACGTTTACTTTTTATTGCGAGCGCAGAACTTTGCAATCACTAAGGAGGCCATGCCTCCCGTCGCGAATGGATGTAAACGTTACCGTGCTTAAAAGAGAGCCGATCGTAATCGGCTGGATGCCTGCCGTGGCGATCGTGTGATCGCGTAAAGATAACGAGTCGTTTGAGAAAAAAAGAGCCTCGAAGTAATCGCCGATTGCCAGCGGCACTCGTTGCTCTTCAATGCGACTTCAGCTAGGTTTCTTCGCTGATAAGAATTACCTATCGTCGCAATTATCATCATCATTATCGTCATTCTGTGATTTCTCGAATCGCGGGATTCGGTGGCCTCTATTACTATATAATGACCAAACTTGTTTTCTTAAAAACCGAAAAAACGTAAACTTACAATTAGATTTATATATCCTAACGATCCTATCACAAATCAATTCTTATTTCAGGAGCAATTCTCTCTTATCTTTTCTCTCGCCACGCGATTCCCGAGTTCTTCCCAAATGTTTTCAACCCGGATCTGTGCCTCCGAGAACTGAAACCGAACGTACATCCGCCGTTCACTCGTGTATTTTCCTGGAAAACTGTATTAACGCGCGAACACGGACTGAACTTTATTTACTGCCGAGTCTAATCAGAATTAGCTCATCGGCAATAGGATCCGGACGGTGACAGCGCAGGAAAAGGCAATTTCTGTTGGAAAACCCCATAGCGACGAGATATATCGGCTCGAGCTTCGCGCACGAGATCGCGATCTGAAAACCGCAAACTCGAGGATGAAACTGCATCTTTCGTTTAACCCTCTGGCTGCGTTGAGTCATTCTTTCGCGCATCTGATGATTCTCCTAGCAATAATCATTACTCTTACAATTTTTTCCACGTTGAGAAAACCCCCATTGTCATCGTAATTAATCATTTGTTAAATTTACTTAGGTATATGCACTATATTATGAATATTACATATATAATAAGAATAAGTTTCTATAATATCGCTAAATAACTTTTATGAATTATAATAAAAATTAATTTGAATTTGAATTTGCAATACAAGTACATTAATTATATCTGTCTGATTAAACAACTTTTTATATTTAATTCAAGAATATCCATTTATTTTTACGTCCGTGCGTACGTTACAAAAATAAGTCTCTCAAAAATAAAAATATAAGATTATTTTTAGTTTTATTCGTAAATCTAGATTAACTTGTATTTCCATTCGAGAATATCTGCCGGAGTACCCGAATAAGCCTATTACCTATACTTCCATCAAATCAATGCAAGTCATTTGACTAACGACATTCGATGAACTTAAGATTAATTCAATTTAGGAATATTTAGGTACCACTGCCGATTATCCTTTCTCGCGAGGGTATCCAAGAGGAGACCTCGAGGACCGCGTCCTGGAAGGGCGCTTCGCGAACCGCGTCGCACGTTTCGAGAGGAGTCGGCGGCCGCCTTTGCCGCGCCGCGTATAAATGCGAAGGCGCGGACGAAAATCGTCTCAGTGTCGAGCGCGAAAAAAGCCGCGACGGTGGCGGCTGTTCTTGATTGTATAACACGCGGCGCGGCCTCTCGTGTACCAGAACACCACGTGTACGCGTGCGATTCCCGCGGGGAGACTGCCCCGACAGATATTCGACGGCGCGACGCTCGGGACGCAGGAACATCGCCGTCGAGGGGAAACCGTATCGCGATCCGGAAACTGTCGCTGAACGCTCGTTAGACGATCCGGTGACTTCCGTCGTGGCACTCGGACTTCCGGCGAACTTTTGTTTTCGTTCCCCCCTTCGCCGTTCCCCCTTGCATCACCCCCGCGAGTGATTACGGATCCGCGGCCTGCAATTGTCGTCGGATTATCTCTTCGCGGACTCCGCTCCTCTCCTCCGCTCGCGGCCTCCCTAATTTATGATCCGCGTCCGCGGCGCAAACTCGCGATTATCGCGAACGAGTAAGTCCCGATGATAAGTCGCTTCTCGGGAAGAAAGAGAAAGAGCGAGATCGAAAGATTCTGTTTGTCACCGCGCCGACACCCGTGCCGATATGGAAGAGGAACGGCGCGAGGATTGTGCAAGACATTAGAGAGGAATAATCCTTGCCATTGCCTTGCGATCCGTTCGAGAGCGACCAGCTGATAATTATACACAAGGTACTTTATATATACATCCCGCGCGATTTTTATCTTTCGATAATCTTGAATTAATTGCTTTCCATCAAAAATTATTCACTTTCATTAAATTAACTTGAATTAATCGAGTGTTTTGTCGGACACACACAAGTGAAATTAATTTTCTATCAAATTAAATTTACACGCACGTTAATCGAGATAATTGAGCTCGACGTAAGCGTAATTGAAAAGGAGCTAAAAAAAATTTCATTCTGCATCCCGAGCGACAATTGCGTCACGTCAGTCAATCGTACTGACGTTGGATGCAAAATTTCTGTATTTTTTCACTTTTTGCCAGTCCAGTTGTTACGTTAAATATTTACGTATTTCTTTTATTTTTTTTAAACATTTACATGTGACGGCGTGTCCGAAAAATTATTTGCACAAAGTCTGCTGATTACGCGATCGCCATAGTGCCAATTTGGTGATTTCGCTCTGGCGCAGTCAAAATAGCAACGTAGCGCACGTAAACAAACTCGTATTAATACACTGTGAACGTGCAAACGCGCGTATTGTTGTTAGAAAAACGTAATTTAACACGCGTATCATCGTACGATTTGAAAAATCGCAACTTAAATCGCTCGTCCCAGTTTAACGTGTGTAGCAAACCTTTTTTCGGCTTTACAAGGTACTCATGTGTCAATCGGGTGGCTTAACTGTCACCCATGTAGTCGCTGGCATTCGTTGGCACTCGCCGCGAATACGATATTAGCCGATCCAAATTCCGATTTAAAAAAAGTAGAAATAGAAATGCATGCTGTGTGGCACACAAGTGAAAATTTTCGGGCACGACGTGACGTGTCCGAGCATTTCACTTTTTTCGGCTGGATTTACCTGCAACTGCTCGCAGTTGACTCGCTTTCATTTCGCAAATTCTCTTGATGGATTGACGGATTGCCCGGTAAAAATATATATTCCCCGAATATATATTTTTTGCATAAATGTTGCACGTTGATGGCAACGTGATAGATAATGTGCATTCTGCTGTGGCGCGCGAACCGGAAATCGAGAGACGCGGTATAATCTTACAATTAATTTATTTATTTTCCGTAGTATTTTTCCGAGTGCATCATCCGCGCGTCAGTCTCCTTCATTACGTGATTATCTTCGAATGCAAAATCGACAGCTTATAAGCTTCTTAAATTTTGAATTAAAAATATTCGTTTGTATGTGTAATAAAAATAATGTCATTACGAGCGCGTGATACAGCCTGTTGATCGTTAATAAGCAAGAAGGGCACCTAAGGTCCAAGACCCTTAATCTATAATCTGAATCGTCTTAATAAGAGAATCTCGACGACGGGACGCGTCTTTCACGGCGCATAAAACGTATATGAGAATCCACACGCAGCGACTGACATTTGCAAACAGATTTATAACGTTGTTAATCGGCGTCGATCTTATCGAATAAACTCGCGCGTCGAAGCGGCGCGGCGTGATGAATGGACGCGCGATGGAGTTGATAAGTCTTGAACTCTAATCCACTCGTACCGCGTTAATGGGTTAAATTGTGTTAAACGTGCGAAACCGATTGAGGATCTAGCGGCGATAACACAGACCGGTCGCGTGAGTCATCATAAGACCTTCCGTCGTGTTTGTTATTGCGAGCTGCCGGTTCCTCGAGCATTTCGAGTGGCGAACCACCGCGAGCGGTGGCCGCTTAATCGCGCTATCAATCATTCAATTGAAACGTGAAATCCGCGGTGCAATAAACAATAATGTATTTTAAGAAACTATAATAAATCTCGTTAAAATTTCCTTTGATCTCAAAATCTATTTTCCGATTGGGTTTTTATCGACGTTTTAGTTACTTAAAACAAAAATTACAAATTGAATTTAAAAAGTACTTATCTCTTAGTATCAATCTGCAAGCGTTAATGAAACATTGATGGAGTATGAATGAATAATGCAAGAGCTAATCGTGCAGCTCGTAAATGAACGGTTGGCGTGAAATCAATTAATTCGAGAAATGCATCTGTGAAAATATCTCTTCGATTTTTTTCCTCCTTTATCAACAACGGCATGTCTCTTTGCAGCAATTACACTTACAGTCATGTACACTACAATGTAATCGGTGTCGAGGTGAGTTAACGCTTTTCATCGCGGAATCAAAGTTACGCGAGTTCGCCGCGAGCTCGAGATCTTCGAGTCCGGATGCTCCGGGAATTTTCTGCACGAGTGCACGATCGCGTGTTATCTTTGCGATATCCATTATTCGCAACGAGGGAGTCGAGTCTCGCGCCGGAAGCGATTCACCGAACGGCACATCGAACTTTTTTCTTCGGAATCCGAAAGGAGACGCGCAACGAGCGACGATTTAAGGTAACGTAGTCAATTAAATAATACGTTCCAGACACGTTACGGCGATCAAAATAAGGGCTTGAAGGGCTCTGGTCGTTGACTTTAGACTTTATCCATAATTGTGAACGACAACACACGGCCATTTGTTTAATATATAACGTCCGCTGTTAATCCGTTCTGTTATTTTTTTTTTTACAGTCATCCGGCCGCGCTCCGATCAGGTGCACGATGATCACGCGGACGAAGCTCTGGTGGAAGATCCTACATTCCGGCGATAAGAATGGTGTAAGTCAATCCCGCGTTACGATTAGTGGCACCGTAATTAAGCACGCCCCGCGAACACGTGCCGCATTCTTCGGCGGTACCAATTCCGGTACGTGGAGCGCGTGACGTGTTGCGTAATTTCGGCATTTTGCGAAACGTCAGACGGCACGAGATATTCCTCATTGATATTTATTTAATGAAGCAGACGGAACAAAGGCAATGCAACTTTTTACGCGAGATTCCTTTTCGCGAGGAATGTCGAAGTAACGCGAAAGGAGGGAAATAATTTCTTGCGAAGCCGGGATGAAGAAACGGCCGAGAGTCTCTCGTCCAATAATAACATCGATTATAAATAATACAAATATGATAATAATAAATAAATGAAAATGTAAGGGTAGAGGATACATTTATTTCCTGCCTCTGTTGAAGCGTTGCAATAACTATCACGCATGTAAGAAGTCTCCGTTAAACGAGGCCATCGAAGAGACGATCGTTTATAAATAAATAAATGGATAAACCGACGGTGCGGAGGTGGTCGGTAGATCGGCCTTCTCGATTCTCGTCCTTCGACGCCGCGGAATTTTCGAAGTTAGCATACGCAACGTGGCATTCCGCATCCTTTCGCTCGATTTTCCGTTTGACAACGTCAACTAGGCCGACGATAAACTTAATCTAATTCTTAACATCCACCAATTGATAAATATATGTATATATAGATACATATTTTTATCATCGTTTAATTTTATTTTTTAATTTATCTATTTACTTTTATTCCTATAGAACATGAGAGACTCTCGTTGTCGTATCAAATTTAAACATTCTCAAGTATTCGTATATCTATATACAAGACCGAGGGACGGACTCTTATCTTTTGGAGACGGCGCACTATTTGCCTAACATAAATTCCGTGCCTCTATTGTTACGACCTGATCGAAAGCGATTTCCATACGAAATCCGACGCCGATGTGGGTCTCGTAGCCCCGAGCGCCCGCGATCCTTGATGCGACCTTCGGCCAGCTTACAGACCTCTTTCTCGCGATCCGAATGATAATGACTAACCGTGCGGAGACGTATTATTGTTACGAATGTGATTTACTTGACATCCGTAATGGCGAATTTTTCGCTTTCCGTCTCGTACAATGCATGTAAGAACGTATCGGCTTTTCGGCCGTGCGTCGAACGTGAAGTGGTAACGCACATCGGATACATCAATGCATCGCTATTCTGTGTATCGCTGCATCGCGTCGAACTTACGCAGAAGATATCCCAAATCGTCCGGCGCACGTACCGAGTCATGTTAAAACAAAGAGAAAGATCCATTGTTTTTTCTTAAATTCGGACGGTCTTTTTAATATCTGATTTTTTTGTATCAAAAGTGGGAAGATAACGTTTTAAATTTCTTTCTTATAATGATAACAAAAAAAGGGCAACTAAAATTGTCGCGCGAGCAATCTCCTCGCTTTACATACCTTTACATACGCACGTATTGTTATGTTAAGAGTCGCAAAATAATGACGTTCAATTAATATAATTAATTGTCAAATAACACATCGATCAATTCAGGGCGATTAAACGTATCCACCGTGCAGGTATGGTAAATACTTCATGAAATAAAGTTCCGATGTTCGTGCAGATCCTCGCGGGTTTGGCCGCGCACTCCGGTCAAATCTCCGTGGGTCTCTCTCAGGGCTACAGCGCGATCCTGATACCGAAGCTCATCGAGACGAACTTTGCGGACCAGTCGCAGGCCTCGTGGATCGCCTCCCTCGGCGTCGTCTCGAATCCCCTCGGTGCCCTCGTCGCCGGGATCTGCGCCGAATGCTTCGGCCGCAGGTCCGCGATCGTTCTGGCCACGCTGCCGCACGCCGTCGGCTGGCTGCTGATCGCGTTATCGAGGAACGTGCCGATGATGTACGCCGGTAGATTCGTCAGCGGCATCGGCACCGGCATGGCCAACGGGCTCTATCTCTACGTCAGCGAGGTACGTGTGCACCTCTGTGACGACATCAGGAAACGATCATACATTTTTGCGCTATTGAGAAACCTTTTGTTAATCAATATTTGAATAATGTACGATAATTATCAAATTATAATCAGTGCGATTAATTACGCCCAATGGTTGATACACATTTTTATTTTATTCGCACGGATTCATTCTGAAGATGAAAGTGTCTGATTCTCTTTTAGGCGGCAGCGCCGGATCAAAGAGCCTGGCTCGCAAGCTGTGGACCAATTCTGGTCTCTCTGGGCGTCTTAATTGTGTACACTCTAGGTGCCATCACGACGTGGCAAAGGGCGGCCGCTATCAGCATCGGGCCCGCGATTCTGTCGCTCGCGTTGACACGGTAATCGCTTCCTCGCCGTATCAATTTGTCTCTTTCAATTACGAAATAAAAAGTCGCGAAAGAGTTCACGCGTATAAAATATTGTAAAATTTCAAATATTCTCACAAAAATTCAATAATAATATATTCTTCAATCGCGAATGTCGTTGAACGAAATGGTTTGCCTCTGCAGAATGCTACCGGAAACTCCCGCCTGGCTGGCCTCGAGAGGTCGGACGGACGAGGCCAAGGAGGCTCTTCTGTGGCTGCGAGGTCCCGGGCTGAACGTCGACAAAGAGTACCAGGAACTCTGCGAGACGAACGCGAGGCGGAAGGAGAAGGAGGAGGGCCTGCTGCGGGCGTTGCACAAGCCCAACGTGTGGAAACCGTTTCTGATACTCCTCGCCTTCTTCGCGCTCCAGCAGCTGTCCGGCATCTACGTGATCCTGTTTTACGCCGTGAGCGTGCTCAGGGACATCGGCATAGACGTGAACGAGTACGCGGCCAGCGTCGGCATGGGCGTCATCCGGCTGCTCGCGTCGATCCTCGGCGCCGGGCTGGCCAACAGCTTCGGCAGGAAGATCCTGGCCTTCGTCAGCGGTTTCGGAATGGCCGTCGCCGCCGTGGCGGTCGCCCTTTCCTTCAGGTTTGCACCCTCGATCCTTCCCGAATTTTATGAATCACTCGTATAATATACGAGGGAGTAAAAAGAATTTAATTTTTACGTCCTGCAGATTCGAGCTCCCGTCGTGGGTGCCGCTACTCTGCATCGGGACCCACGTGGGCGCGTCGATGGTCGGCTTCCTCACGTTACCGTGGGTCATGACCTCGGAGTTGTACCCGCTGCGATTCAGGGGCAGCCTGGGCGGTCTCACGACCAGCATCGCGCAGATACTGACGTTCACCGCGGTCAAAACGTATCCGGATCTGAGCTGCATCGTCGGTCTCGAGTTCACGATGTGGATATTCGGCGGGGCTGGCGTGCTGGGCGCGATTTTCGCCCTGACGACACTGCCGGAGACCCGGGGACGCAGCCTCGACGATATCGAGATGAAGTTCTCCAGCGGGTCGAGTGACGACAGTTCGGCGTACGCCAGTAAGATCTTCTCCAACGTGTGGTCCCAACCAAAGAACATCACCCTCCAACGATTCACGTCGATCTCGGAAGAGAAGCAATCGAATATCGCGGCGAACGCCGCGTATGTCTACGACAACTTCTGCCTGGAATTGTCTCCGGAGAAACTGGAGAAGGACATTAAAGTCCCCGAGAAAGAATCGACTCGGGATCAACGAATCGTAATCGGTCTCGCGCTCGAACACGTGCGCGTTTGATGTGAAAAATCCGGAAGAATTTTTGCTAGAAATAATTCCTACGCGAAATTATAACCTTTTATAAGTATATTAATAATTATGTCTAGGATAGTATAATTATTTATTTATTTTATATAATTGATTAGTAATCGTAATTATATGTATAGATCCTTTGCATGTTGATACTATTTCGTCGGATATGATTCCATCTAATCAAACTATGTGGAGAATAAATGATATTCATTCAACTGAAATTCAAATGAATTTCAAATCTTTGCATCTTGCAATTCCTGGAGAAAATCTGTATTGGAGAGATGTGCCCTATATTAAACGATTTGTGGACTATTCTATTAAACGGGGAAAAGGAAGAGTTTTTGAATATTTGTGGATAAAGGGACGACGAGTGTTCAACGGTAAATCATTTCGGGAGCAAAGTCTTTCAATACAATACCGAATGTGTGAAAATAAAACGCAATGATGTATATTGATTACAAATGTTCGTGATACAGATACACATGATATCGGTGGAACCCCTTAAAATATAATATCCATGTAACACACGATATTACATTCTCTGCGAAATCGTATGCGAGAGGGAAGGGGTATAGAAAAAATAATTTTCTCGATTATTGTATGTACATGTTACAGTTACAGTGATGTGTAGTTCTGCATTATTATCCGAGATAATAACGCACACAATGTGTCCGGTTCTTCCCGCAATCCTGTTTTTATAAAACAGTCGCAAGTACAAAATCATGTACAAATCGGAGATCGCGATTTCCCAGAATCAACAATTTCATCAATTGTTTCGCGCAAGCGGTTGAATTCGGGTTAATATGTACAGTAAAACTACGATGTCCTCTCGTCGATGAATTACGCGATATTTTTTTCTATATAATATCGATCACATTTAGCGTTTAAGATCGTCAATACACCGTCGCTTAAGAAAAATCGCGCTTACAATCTATTAAATGCAAAAATTGTGGGGAAGTTTTTAAGTACAAAAATAATGAGAGAGACAATTGCCGCGATGAATATCTTGATCGGCGCACTACACACGATCTATTCCCTTGAAAATTATAGCGTTCAACAATATAATTTAAACGATTTTATTTATTTCACTCCGTATTAAAATTAAACGAAAATCTCAAATTGGCATCTCAATACCGTGATTTCCAGGAAAATGCAGTCACGATCCGCGTGAATCGCTACGGCGATCCAAGTGTTAACGGAGAGCATGGAAAGCATGTGTGAAACATTTAAAAATAAAATGTTCCGACTCAATTCCTCCCGCGATCGGCCGTTACATATCTTACATTTACAACTCTCTACTTTCTCATTCAACGTACAATTACAGTCAGGCAGTTTTTAGGCTTTACTACAAATCTTTAAGAAAATATCTAGATACTCGATTCTCTTCCTCCTCGCGCCGCCCTGTTGTAGTCCTCGGGAGGGAGTTTAATTCGATTCCCTTCGATATATTTACAACGCTTAGAACATTGATAATTAAATATTCATACTTTCGGCATTTTTCCTTTACACGTCGTAATTCTACAATTTCTCGTCGCGACAAACCGAAACACAAAGATCTCTGCGAACGCGCGATCTGAGTTTTGATACCCGTGCTGAAAGTGAGGGATTAAAATACATAAACCCATCTGAAGAAAAATTTTTTCGTGTAAACGCAGATAAAATATGAGGTGACGTTAGCGCGGAGATCGCGCGTCGAAATTTTCAACTGAGACTGCTGCTGGAAATGGAAGACGTTCGGCTAACCCAGTGATGCGCAACCTTTCTTAAACTGAGGATCATTTCAGATAAAATCAGGCAAAATCTCGCGGACCGCATATGTCTATTTTGGCATATATAAAAAATTCCACGCGCGCGCGCGCGCGTGTGTGTGCGTATGTGTGCGTGTGTACAGAGTGGACATATTGGCTGCGACACTTTTTTTCATAGGTTTTTAGTGTATATTTAATATATATAATATATATTTTATAGGTAACTAATATTTTCCAAGTGCAAACCACGATGGTGTACTACCTTTATTCTAGAGACAGTACACCAATCGTGGTTCGCATTTGCAAAATATTAATGCGTTTCGAAACCTATTTAAAAAAAAAGTGTCGCAACCGATATGTCCACAACTGTACACAAAGACCGTCAAAAGTTCAGGGCCACCTAAATAATTTCTGAATGGTTCGAGATTGAATTGAAATTTATAGGGTCACAATGGCATCATGAAATCTATCATTAACTAACATTAAAAACACCCACTTCAACCAGGGGAAGGGAGCGGAAGGCCGCAAAAAATTGCTTGGTGGGCCGCGGGTTGCGCAACACTGGGATAACTAATGAGAAATGTGATCTATATAGTTTTAGTAAATGCAATCAATTGAGCATTGTCTATGCATTTCCTATCGATATTTGCGTTGATATATAATTCCCTAATACCATAACGAATGAATTGCGCTTTTCTTTATTGCTACATCTATTCGACTACAAAACCAACGACACGCCGCTGTTTCATTGTTAAATCTATAGGCCTGTTCTTTATAGCTGAACTGGCTGCACTGGTTCACGAGTTTATCCTTCTTCTTCTAACGTAAAAAAAAAAGAAAGATAAAACTGTGAACTAGTGCAGCCAGTTAAACTATAAAGAACGGGCCTCATAATTGCATTTGAGACTTACTTAACGCAACTATTATTACTTGTGTTCGCGATTATTATTATTGTTATTATTATTCGGTGTGGTCCATATTCGAGACTCGCGTTAATCGATTGTGAGAGGATCCTATTGTTACGCATTACCATTAACCGACGTGCTTGATTTAGAAAATTATAGAGGCAAACATATCGCTCGAAATATAAGAGGTATATATGTGCACTAAATATTATATTCACAAGTTGTAGGCTACGAAAGATGGGGATCGCATAAACAGCGAAACTGTCTTAACTTGTTCTATGTATAAGAGGTAAACATCTATGTTTCAGATATTAAAAGAGATGCCGAACATAGGTCTGTTTTAACTGATTGAACGCGATTATTTTCGGATTATCCGTTTTTTTTTTATCGATTTCACAGAATTATAAATTTTGCAGAATTAAAGGAATTGATAATAACGGACACCGATTATTACATTTGAAAACTGATTTTTTAAAAAGCTCATCAACTTCTGGGAGGAAGTAAAACATGTGTGCATGCAGTATTCAAATATTTATGTTAGAATGATGCTGAACGCAGGTCTGTTTAACCGAGTTCTCGACAGCACAGACACGTCAGACACCGGTATTGTCACGATTGTTACTTACAATTTTTTTTTATTATTGTTACTTATACTAGTCACCGGCCGCGTATCGCTAAAAACAATCTCAGCTTACCGTCACGAGACCGTTTTCTCGTCACCAGATGCAGCGGCGTTCTCTTGTTGATCATATTTAACGACGGAGATGCGATCGCGACGTGTTCTCGCCGGTGTTGGAGATCCATTCGTACGGCAGTCTCGCTCGCCGGAATCGGAGGCGCTCCAGCTTACGCTAGAATGGAAAAGAGCCAGCAGCTCATGCAGATCAGTCTAGCGGCATCGATGTTGCCGCGTCTCGTTCTCGCTCGGAACGCTGGACGATCCGAGCGTGTCGACGCTCGCTGTCAGTAAAACTCCGAGTCGGAGCTGTGCTGCGAGTCCACGCCGTTCAGATACACCTCCAACGTGTGCTGAATAGCCGGCGAGTATTGCGCGGTTTCTCCGTTTTGACCTGACAGGAACATCGCGACTTTATAACATTGTAGAACATATTCTTTTTTTCTTTTAGAACATGGATAATGATTAAAAAGAAATATTACCCTGCGCGGCGAGAATAGTCGCTAAACACTTGGCCACCGCCGGATTTGGGGCGCAGGCTAACGCGGGCGTGAGTCCTTCGGCGTCGACAGCTATGACACTCGCGCCCAGTTGCAACAATCGTCGCGTGATCTGAACAAAAAGGAAGAAAAATAATATTTCCCATTTCTCAGACAATTACTACTTGTTACATTTCGCCGCGTGTCGTTAAACACAATCTCAGCTTACCGTCACGAGACCGTTCCTCGCCGCCAGATGCAGCGGCGTTCTCTGCTGCTTGTTGACCATGTTGATGACCGAGACGCGCTGCGACTGCGACGTGTTCTTGTCGCTGTCGGAGCCGCCGAGCGACTCGATCCAGTTTAGGAGTAACGACGCCGCGGCGGAATGACGTCTCTGGCACGCTAGGTGCAGCGCCGTGTTCTTGTTGGAGTCGACGGCGCGCACGTTGGCCTTCCATTCGAGCAGTAATTCTGTCGGCGGGACGCGGTCTCATTAACACAAAATTGTCGTAAAAATTTGACGTGTAAACTTTGTTAACAAGCGACTAATAATTTTACCGATAGCGTTGCACTGCCCGTTGACGGCCGCGCAAAGGAGCGGCGTCCGTCCGAAGTAGTCGGTTGTCTCGAGTCCGGCTTGCTCCGGTCCGACCGAATTCAGAATCAATCGCGCGCACTCGACGGACCCGGCGCTCGCCGCGACATGCAGCGGTAATAAGCCGCACGACGAGTCCCTCGGGGCGGCAACCGCTTGCCCGCCGAACTTGTTAATCAGCAGGTCCAGACAGTGCGCAGATCCCTGATACACGGCGCAGTGTACGGCGGAGAACGGATTACCTGTGAATAATTTAAAAAAAAATCAGCTCGCGATGCACGTCACGTATGGATTTGGATAATCCGTCTTCAAAGAGCGAGAAACCACGTACCTTCCAAGGAATCGAACACGTTATGATTCAAAAGATACTCCACGCAATTCGAGTTGCCGTTGTAACAGGCCCAGTGCAGCACCGTGCAACCTTGATCGTCCTTCAAGGCCGCCGCGGTTAAATCGGCTTTAACGAGTGCGGCTAAAGCGTACAATCTGCAAACAAACTCGGGATGTAGAGCGGCTTTATACTAGGGCTGGTGATTTGCTTCGAAGGCTTAGACATTCAAACTTCGAAGCTTCAAAGGCACCTTAAATTTCGTAAGGTCGAACTTAACGTCGAAGCTTCGAATATTCGAAGTGAGCAAAAAGTAACAGCCCTACTTTATACCGCGACGGAAAATTTTTTCGTACGAACGTAACTTCTCACCTGCCGCAAGCCGCCGCCAAATGTAACGGTGTTTTACCGTTCATATCTTGCACGGCCACCTCCGCGCCGTGCTTCAGCAACAATTTCACCAGCTGATTGTCGCGCTCGTTGATCACGGCGCGAAACAGCGGCGTATGCTTATTGACGTCCGGCAGATTGCAATCGGCCTTGTACGTCAGCAGCAGCATCGCGCATTCCGGATAGTTGTTCGCCACCGCGAGCGTCAGGGCCGTGCGCTGCTTGGAGTCGCAGCAATTCACCACGTTGGGATCGTCCATGTTCTGCAGAAGCAGAGCCAGGCATTCCGCGTGACCTGTCGCGGCGGCGCAGTGCACGGGTGTGCGCTTCGTGACAGAGTCCTGGAAGCACACGATTAAGCGATTGCTGCGCGTGTAAACGTACGCTTACTTAAAGCGGGGAATCCAGATTCTTCTCACCTGGACCGCCACGGAAGCGTCGAATCGCAGCAGGAGCAAGATACATTGCTTGTGCCCCTTGTAGGCGGCCAAATCTAGTGGCGTCTTTCCGCTGTCCTCCTTGATATTCGTATTAGGGAACAGGGGAAGGAGCAGCTGCAAGATCTCATCGTGACCGTGATACGCCTGATGGAACACATGCATTTTGCAAGTTAGAAATGTACACGTCTTCGAATTTACCGAAAAAATTTGCGGTTTACGTACCGCGAGGTGTATCGGAGTGAGCGCCGGCACGGACAGCTCCTGCCCGATCGACGAGGAGCTGAGCGAAGCGGACGGATTCGAAGGCGCGTCAGACAACGCGTTCAGAAGCGCCTCCAATGCCGCTTTATTGCCGCCCGCCACCGCGTAGTGGATCGCAGTGAAGCCGCGTTTGTCGCGTAAACGCGGATCCGCCCGGTGCTGCAGCAGGTACTGCACGCACTTGAAAGACCTGCGCGAAATTAAAATGTCATGTCTACAGTCATGTCTACTCAAAAATTGTCATGTAGACAGAAGCTAAATTTCGCGAAAATTAATTCGCCAGAGAGAGAGAAAAGTAGTAATACTGACTGAGCGTTAGAATTCGACGCCGCTGCGGCCAGATGTAACGGCGTCGCGCCATTCACGTCCTGAGCGTTCGAGTCGCTACCGAATCCGACCAGAGTGAAGACGCAAGGGTAGTGCCCTTGGCACGCGGCATGATGAAGGGCCAATCGATTGTCGTTGTCGACAAGTTTGAAATTCGCACCGCTGGACAGCAGCAGATCCAAGCAATCCACGGAACCCTGTTTAGAATAAACCCAGTGTATTCTTTAACATGACGACTGGCATGTACTTATTAAAATTATTAAATTAAAAAAAAATTAATATCATAGAATTGAATGATGCACCACCTTAAATGCTGCCAGATGTAAGGCCGTCCTACCACCGATATCTCGCGCGTCGATCCGCCTGCTGTCGAGTTGCAATAATTTTCTACAAACCTGCGGTACGACAGAAACAAATCGACATTCATTAAATTGTAATATAAATTGAATAAGAGTATAGAGTACCGAAAAAAATATGTGGCTCACTTCTATGTGCCCCGCTAGGCAGCTGAGATGCAAAGGTGTACGTTGCTGTGCGTTGCGCGTAGCTGGAGACGCTGCGCTCTCCAATAGGGATGTCGTCAGGCACTCGAAGCCAAACCTGTAATTACAGAGTTTATACTCTCACCGTCTCTCATTCAAACGCGCGAAGCGCTGCAAAAACGAGCGACTCACCAGGCGGCAATGTGCAATGCCGTATTTCCATTCTTGTCTCTCGCGTCCGGAAAGGCTCCCGCGTCCAGCAACGTTTTGGATCTCGTGAATCTCCCGTGGATCGCGGTCATGTGCAACGGCGTACGGCCGTCCTCCGACTGCACGTTGACCTTCAACCCGTTGTATATCAGCATCTTGAAACAGTGAACACCGTGCACGCTGGCGGCGGCGACGTGCAACGCGGTCTGCCCCCGATAATTCACGGCCTCTGTTGCGAACGACGAAGTACAATCGTTTATTCGAATGTCGTGGGACTCGTTTAAATATTCTAAATATTCTAAATATTTAATTTGTAAATATTTAATATATCTAAATATTTAATTGATCTAAATTTTAATATTTAATATATTTAATATTTAGAATCTCTGAACAATGACTCACCCAAATTAACGTGATTGGCTATAAGCTCCTTGATCACGAGGGGACATCCGTTCAAGCACGCGATATGCAGCGGCGTATTTCCGTACACGTTCTTCGCCTCGATGTCGCCGCCGGCTTGGATCAAAATCTGCACGCACTCCGCATTACCGGAAGCGGCCGCTGCGTGTAACGGAGTATACAAATCTCGATCCTTAACACAAAACAGAAATACACACGGTATTTACGTATGGGAATTACACCTGGAAATACACCCAAGAGTTCTAACCGAAAATGTTTCGCAACGAATTTACGTACTTTAACATCCACGTCGGCGCCTTTCGCTATTAGCGCTTTCACGATCTCGTTGTGGCCCTTGTACGCCGCGAAATGCAAAGCCCTGCGGTCCTTCTTGTCGGAGGCGTTTATCACGCAACCGAACTGCATCAGGTATTCGCACATTTCAAGATGTCCGTTGAACGCCGCGTGATGAAGACACGTTTTCCCGCATCTGTGGAAAATTATTTAACGCGTTAATCTATGCATTCAATAATATATTAATAATACATTATAATGTATCGTCAATAATTTTTTATAAATCTGTGATTTTCCGTTGGATTAATCATCGTGAGATTGCTGCAGTAATAATGATACAACCAATAGTATGCGCAAACCTGTCTGTGACGTTGATGTTTAACAAGTGCGGCATTAATAGTTCCACGCACTGAACAGCGTTATTTGCCGCCGCTACATGAAGAGGCGTCTGCCAATTGCGGTCTCGGGCGTTTACGTCCGCTTTGTACCTCAACAGAATGTCCACCACGTTGTAATTGCCCGAGCAGCAGGCTCGGTGCAAGGGAGTCAACCATTTCTTGTCTTTGTTGTTGACCGCCGCACCGTTTAACAAGAGAAGTTCTACAATAGCGGTATCTCCCCTAAAACACCACATCATAGAGACGTTACAGACGATAATCAAAACGACTTTTGGCAAATTAATAAAAAATTAGTAAAGATTAATAAAGACTTTTGGCAAATTTTCAACATTTTTATTAATCAAGATATTAACCTGTATGCTGCCGCGTGTAAAAGGGAACGTTGCTCCTTGTCTTGCCAATTGACATCCTCTTTTTGCGATAGCAACGTACGAACTGCCTCCACATTTCCATGAAATATGGCTTGCAACAAAGGAGGCTGTGAAAAATAAACAATTACAAGTTCATTTTCCTTTCTCTCATCTAAATTACAGAACAGATCCTCGTGAAATATCAAACGACGCAAATATAATTAAAATTTCATTGAAATTCACTTGTCGATTGCAACAAAAAAAATATACAAAATCAAAATACGAGCAAGTCATCCTGCGAGCCTTCACGTGTCCTCCAGAACAAAGAAACTTGATTAAAAAAAGAAAAAAAAGTAAACGCGCAATGGACAACGTGCATAAGCTTTCCCAGGGAGAAGGAAGCCGCGGAGACGTAGGAGTGGTACGAGGGGTGGTACGTTCACGTCGGATCAAAATACAAAAATACAAACGGCGAGCGAGCTAACCTACGCCTCCTAGATAAACGCGATAGCTCAGGGATGAGCCCGAGGGAGAGGACACACACGCGATCTCGTACCTCGTCGTGAAGATCCTTGAAGGTGTTCATGCTGGCCAGCGCGGCCCAAGCGGTCTCCGCGTCCGCGTGGTCGTCGTTCCTCTTCATGGGAGCATCGTTCGCAGCCGCGATCGCGAGCGGATGAGTCATCCGGGTCCGCGGGCGCGAGATATCCGTTCTCTCGGCGGCCGCCGCCGCTGCCGCCGCTGCCGCTGCCGACTGGGCGGCGCGATCCGCGCGATGTCCGGTCGGGTCCGGGCGCGCGTGACACGCGTCCGGTTCGCGTCTCGCTTCACGGACGGCGCGTGCGAACAGCGTGCGACGCACCGCCGGGTCGGCCGCCGGGTTCGCCGCGTCCCACCGTTGTGTATATTCACGCGCACGTGGCCGCTCCGTCTGACGCGCTCTTCGCTCTCGCCGCCATCTTCGACAGTTGTTGTGCGCGAGCTTGTAAACAACGGCGTCGGCCACGACCTCTGGCCGGGAGACCGCGCGGCCGCGGCGCGCGGAGAAAGGGAGCAGCTGTTTCCCTCGACGCGAAGCGAAAAGATGAAGCAGATAATTTTGTGAGGGGAGACCGGAATACAAAGGAATTGTGTATGAAAGTACAGACGAGGAAGAGGAAGGTGGGAAAATCGGAGATAAGGAAAACGCACAATTGCCGCGTTTCATTGTGTTTATACACCTGAAAACCGCAATTGTGGTTAGTTCAGTACTTTTGAATAAATATAATTGTAAATGTAATAGTTTTGCTTGACAGAAAATAATTGTGATAAATACTAGACAGACGAGAGGCATGTAATAGTTCAGCTCGAAGGAGATAATTAAGACGGATGATTACGTTTCGGTAACAGGGATGTAATTCTCTCTATCGCAGATTTTCGTCGGTCAAATTCAATCGCGTTTCGTCCCACAACTAATTCCGCGGTTCACGTGACCAGCGCCACTGGAGATGCCGCCAAAACGCACGAAAGTCGTCTGCTAGAGGAAGCATGGAGACGTTCCATCCCAGTATTTTGGAATCCGGAGTCATTGTCAGGATCGCTTAAATGCAGTTTCTGTCTCACAATCAGCGACGCGATTGAGACGTCAATTTCACAATTGTTATTATCGCAAGTGCAAAGAGAAGTACGCGAGAAGCTTATTATTTATTGTAATGTATTGTTATAACGTCTCTTTAAATTCTAATATATACGTATCGCTCTGATGTATAACACAGTGCCACTTTAGTTTTGTAATACTGGCGAATATGTTCTAGCACGAGGTTTTACAAATGGATCTCGATGCTACCTTCGACTGCAGCGGCAGGGTGAACGTCAACGATTGGCAGCTGAGCAGGAGCGGGCTGTTTTATCGCACGGAGGTGGACAATGCACTTTTTTCCCAAACCGACTGTCCGTTCGCCCATGTGGAAGTCAGGCTCTTCGACCGCGTCATGCCCGGAGCGGTGGCCGTGCTGGATCTAAAACATCTCATCAGTTGCATGGAGTAAGAGCGAGCTTCTCTCGATAAATAAATCTCTCTTCATATTGTTGTCAAGCTACTGGGTGAACTGTAATCTTACCATTGTAAAAGATATTTGTTCTTTTTCTGTGACAGAATGCAACTGAAGATACTAAACAGACAGGCGAGGCCGGTCACGATATCTGGACCGTGTAACGATAATATGAATTACTTTTCTCTAAGGAGGATGGTTTGTGAATTTATCGTATATTTCCGTACATACGTGAACAGGTAAATGGAACGTCTCCTTATATCTGTGATATTTTGATTTTGCGACAAATGACTCTCATATTTCTGACCATTGCAGTATAAAGTGGGATCTTAGTGCATTAGAGACAGTAACACCTGAAATCGGCAAAGATGTGGATACTCTGTTTGACTGCATCAAGTACTTTCTCAGTACGTTACGCAGCATCCCAGATTCGACTCTGCATTACGCTGCTTCTAACATAGGCAACAAGGTAATCGAAGAAACTTATTCTTTTGGCCGGGAGCAGAAAATTTAACACAATTATTTTTCTTTCAGTGTAACCAGCCAGAGTTTCATTTGTATCATCTGCATATAGAGTTAAGATGGTTTTTCGTCACACTGATACATTCGAGAACTACATGGTATCAGTATCACACGCAATCGGAGGAGTTTGAAAATACTGCTGAAATGGTCATCAACGATCTCCTATATTCTGCCCTGAAAATATTTGAGAGGGTAATGAAAATTGAAGCATTTTTTTTTTAATTTCATCCTGTGATAATATAAACGTGTTATTTTATATTTCTGTTATTTTCCGTTCACAGTTAGCCTTAAACTGGACTGTGGACCTCGCGCAGAAAACGCCATACTGCTGCACGTGCACGCGAGAGTTGTGGCTCATGTTTCAAATATTTGTCGACAGTTTGGGAGAAAGGAGGAAAACTAAGGTAAAATATTAAATTAACAATAATTTCGCAGATACGTATTCTTATCGTCAATGAAATTTCAGATGTTTTGGGACCTTGTAAACAGTTGTATCGATAGAGTGCTACGTAAAGATCAGTCTCAAGTATTATTCTGGCACAGAAGCGTGGACTCCTCTCTGCCAGATTGCAAAAATCCCGAATTGTTTTGCATCTGGATAATATATCATCTGTCTCTGTTGTACGGATACAGTAACGACGGCGTGTATCTGCAATCTAATTCTCCAAGGGTAACATATGATATGAACATGTGATACAAATTAAATTGAACTTCACAGATCATGTAACAGATGTATATTCCTTTACAGATTAGATCTAATTGCGAACAAGTTGAAAAAGTTTTAAAGGCGTACGTGTGTAAAGGTGGAAAAGACGGTGACAGGGATGAGCTTGATGTGGAGCTTAAAATCATAATACCGTTAATACACGATCTTATTATTAATTGGTGGCAACCGCGAGTGCAAATTATATCTTTTCTTTGGGACTGTTTTCACAAAAGATTAGACCAACCGTTCCTATTACAGACCTCTGGACCTTGGGCCCTATCCGTTGAAAAGTATGCGGCTTGCATATAAATTATAATTATAACAAATTAAAATTTTAGTCGCAAATAAATAAAGAATACTCTTTTGTAGGAAGACGGCTAAGGATATTCTGAAGCAAATTAATGACAGAATCTACGGCAAGTTTGAACATTCCAAGGAGTCCAGCTATGGCATGTTCTTGCATTTAATAGGTGAGTTTGATGAAAATTTTCCGAGCGTTGACTGTATCATAAAAAGATCAATCTTTCAGGGACTCTTATGAAAAAATACGGCACGTCCGACCCGAAATATTGGAATCAGATTAAGGGGCGTGTATATTCGAAATTTTCAAAGAATAAAGTCGCGGAGTTCTCGGAGAATGGCCTCTACAACTTCATATCTTTATTTATCACTTTAGCCATCACCGCAGATATTGCGAACGTTGTAAGTTAAAATATACGATTGTTTGATTACCTTCACATATTAACGATATATTTTAATATATATATGTTTTTGTAGTGTACAGCAATGTTGGATTTCCTGCCATCTACACATGAACTGAATAATGAATATAATAAAAAATGCAATCTGATCTGGAAGGGAAAGCTAGCGTGTCTCTTGCTGTTTAATGAAAGAAGACTACCTCTTGGTTCCATAGCTGGACATTTTACGGAAACAGTAATGATCCATTTTTTCATATAAATTATGTAAATATAAATAATGTACATTTTTGTGTATATTGTAATTTTTTTACAGATTAATTTAATAAGTTGTCGCAAAGACGAAACATCTCGTTTCATGATGACCAATTTTGTTGATGTATTGAACACGATTTTGTCTGGCAACGAGAAAATGGATCTAGGCGAGTTCAATTTCATCGGTGGTTGGATCGATCGTTATCTTTTGGAGTGCCCGAAGAACAGAATCACATCTTTATTGGAGATGCTCGCGAATGTTTTCGAAAAATGTATCGTCTTGCAAGTTTCTTGTAACAATTCGGGTCGGTATGTTTTTGTCTCTATTTCAGATACATATTAATATGGTAATCTTAGATGATATATGTTCAAGCTTGCGTGATGAACATTTTTGCTAAAAATTTGCTTGCAGATGGTGTCAGAAAAATGTTAGACGCACTATGGTGTTTCGTCGCATCCAGAGTTCGCCAACTCGTCTTCGATCCCGTACTCACCGGTGACAATTATAAAATTATTTCTAAGCTGGCTGTCATATTTACTTTAGAAGCAGTTAGAGAACCAGCCACTGCTAAGAAGTACAAACACTCGGCTGTGTCTTTATTTCAGCACTTTGCGGCGTCGATATTTGTAAAAGATATAAGGTAAAAATGTTTTTTTTTATCTTATATCTTTTACAATTTTTTTGTTATCTCTGAGAAATCAGTATCTATTGAAAATAATATAACAATCTCGTCTTTTTTTCTTTAGAATTACCCAGTATTATCTAACATCGATTCTTGAGAAGGAGCAAGCTGTCCAAAGCTTGAAAAAGGAAATTTCAAATTTCGATACTATTCTTATCCAAGTTCGTACATACTGATTTGCTACGTTATTACATGTTGCGACGCGATCACCAGAGAATTCATAAAATATATGTTCTAGGCTTGGATAAAATGTTCCATCGTTGGTCACGATATAAACAAGGAAGACATAAGGATTCTACAGAATTACGTTATCAATCTCAGTGAGATCAAAGAAATATTCGTGTCGGGTGATGATGTGTACGAATTTAAGAACAGTAACGAATCTATTTTGACATTCATAATATCGTTCATGAAGAAGCAGAACACTTTAGAGGTATTAATTTTGTGAATTTATGCGTGCTTTCGATTCTGCTCCGATCCGGAAATAAATTAATACAATTGAAAAATTTCACACAGTCCGAGCAGGAAAAACTTCAATACAACGCGAGATGCAAGATGTATTTCAAGAATTTAGAGAAGTGGGCCATGTTACCTATAACGGAGGAAACGAAAGATTCGGAGCTTGCATTCTGGATTTACAGATGCCTTGGTACACTGATTCTCTGCATTTCTCCGACGTTATATACTAAGGTACGTGTGACTTAATGATCGCTGCTGAAATTTTTATATTCTAAGGGGATTGCCTTTTTTTTACAGAATCAACCGAACGACATGTTAAGAACGCTCATCAACAAGATTATACTGGTACCCGAGAACTCGACGCAGTCGTACATAAAGCATTTGGGAAAGAGGATATTCTCAATGGTGATACTCGGCTTTGAGAAATTGAACGTCAAAGGCGACATATTGTTGCAAGCGATGATCAGAGACATCTTCGATCAATACTTGCCGATTTTGATCACTGAAGTCAACAGCGGTTGCAGCTTTAAGGTTTCCGATGCGTTGCTAAAGTGCTTTAAGAAAGTAAAGAGCGAGTTTCTGCGTACAATTTTCGAAACGCTGATGTCAAACTTTTACAATATATCGTCCGACAATGTCATGCACAAACATTCCAACCTGGTACGCAGTTCGTAATTATTCATTCAATATCACAGAAGCGTGTGATTGCAAATATATTTATTACACACATTCACACAGATAACTTGGCTTATAAAAACATTGCTTAAAGAAGAAAGGAATTATCCAAAATATATTACGGAACACATCATCCAAATTTGTTCTCCGAACATCTTCGGATGCTACATGAGGGTTCATGACCATCATCCACATAAGTTGCATACAATCGACTTTATCAATGACGTAATTAAAAGTCCTTACTATGAGGAAGATAAATTTATCAGGTAAATAAAAAAAAATATCGAGATATATCTAAAATTCAAATATGTGTAAATAATTTAAAATCCTCGGATTTTTAGGGAAAAATTTCGAACTGCTATTGCCACTGCAGTGCAAAAATATTTGGTGACAAACACGCAATTTACATTTGAACTTATGCAATCCGTTTTATCGATAAAAAAAAGTATCATGGTCAATTTAATTCCGCAAATTGAAGCCCTCGTACTTTCCGCCGAACAATATCGCCGACCCAATGCGGCATCCTTGAGGTAAGAATAATCATTAGCCTAAATTAGAAATAATTCTTATGCCTATGTAGAATATACGATGTAGATTAAAAATTACAATTTCAGATTCATGTGGAATCAACTGAAAAAACGTATGCTAAATATGGACAATAATTCGTGACAGGATCACAAAAATTTTATAATTAGCGCTTATCAAATTGTTATTAATTTAAATATTTTAAATAATAAGTTTAGATTCTTTAGAGTCAGATTAGTTAAAAATTTGATCATTAATTAAGAATATGAATGTAATTATTTCAATGTAAGAAATATAAATAGTAAAATATGATGAAATAAATAACAAATCTTATTATAAAAATTATTTAAACACTCAAAGTTTCTAGTCGATACGTGAAAGGTTACACTCTTCAAACAGCATTTTATAGCGCGCCGAATCAATATACATTCAATTATAATCGCGATCTCGTTCCAATTGTTTCAAATATTAAAAAGAATGAAATAATATGAGGATATAATACGTATCTTTAATAAATTTTATTGTAATGTAATACACTGCAATACAATTTCTTGTATTTTTTAAATTGGTTTAAGTTTATATCAAGTTAAAATACGTAGTAGGAGAATTGAAATTATTGTTATATTCAAAACGAAATTTCGTTCGAATTAAGTATACAAATGAAATATAAAATGTAAATTATTGTCACGTATACTATAAAGATTACAAATAATAATTAGATGTGACACACACGTAAATTCACTTAAATATAACTGGCAATCATCGGTCTCAACGTGTGAGGCTATAAAGTAGGTGGAATTTATGAACCGCTTAAAAACAATACCTAAATGTTCTCCACTACTTTCGATGTGAATGCCTCGAACGGTGGTGTTTCAACGACGCACTGGTAGTATTGCCCGGAGGCGATCGTCATCCAATTAACTCGAGACGGGACACGGCACTACGTACGGCGTTACGTAGACTCTGCTCGGCGTTGCCGCTCAACAGGGACTCCAATCTCTCGAAATAACTGTCGATATTTTGTAACGTGGCACCGTCGTGTGTGCCTGTAAAAAGAAAATTTACACGAATAAGGTCCCGAGCTGACTCCCGAGATCTCGGCGAGAGAATCTTCTACGGGGAGAGACTCGCCTGGAAGTGATACGGTGGCGAAGCAACCCGCCAGTTGGGAACGAAGAGAATCCAAGTGACGCTGCAGAGCCTGATTGGTCGTTCGTTGTTGATTAGTTTCGGACTCCAAACGATTCACGGCGGCATACAGACTGTCCACGTGTCGCTGGAGAACCGCGTTCTGAGCTTCGTAGTCGGACGTAGCCTTCCGCAATTGTCTCAATTCAGCCTCACAGGCTGCGCAGATGTATTTTCATTATTTTCAAAATATGTCTACATTACTCTGTATTTTATCGATTACTCGTAATTGCCGCAACCTCTTTACCTTTGTTATGATCCAGGAATTCTTCCGTAAAAATGGGAATATCGAAACCTGTGAAGTCATTGTCTTTATCCTGTTGAACGTCCTAACAAAAAGAGAGTTCCTCTATTAGCGTCGCGATAGCCGCAATTTTAAGACTAGCAATACATGATCGTACATTCTGTTCAGCGTTCACGTCCGTGCCGTTTCTCTCCTTCTTATTTTCATTTTGTCTCTCAGATTGCTTTTCGTTGAACAGCCGGTACGCCTCAGTTTGCTTATAATCGCTAAACTCGCGATTGTAACGCTCTTTGTCTTGCTCAGCCGCGTCCAGATAATGCTGCAAGTATTTATCGCCTCATTAATATTACAGAAAGAACAAGAAAAACACTGTAGAAAAGCAATACAAACCTGCTTTTGATCGATTGGCAATTTACTCCATTCCGCAGCCAGAAGCTTCGTAATCTCCGTGAACGTTAAGCTTGGATTCTGACTTCGAACCTTCTCTCTCCGATCGTTTAAGAACCTGCACGCACGTTTACATTTCGTTACAAACGGAATGTTTTACGCGTTTATTAAAGTACTGGTATACTCGATCATTACAGGAAGTAACCGCTCAGGGGCTGTCTCGGTGCGGTGGCGTCTCTCGGGGCTTTCTTACGTTTCTTCGTTCTGTTCGGCGTGTTGTTGCTGTTGCCGGTAGCCGTGGTGTTTCTCTTTGTACTGTTGTCGTACACCGAATCCGGTGCCTTCTCCTCCGTACTCACTGGAGATTTGGCTAATGAAACGCAAAGGACAACAATTTTAGAATTAATTTATCAATAGGCCTGTTCTTTATAGCTGAACTGCTGCACTAGTTCACAGTTTATCTTTCTCTTTCTACACTGGAAAAGGAAAGATAAACTCGTGAACTAGCGCAGCCAGTTCAGCTGTAAAAAAACAAGGGGTCAATTGTGTATCTTTAAACGAGGTGAAAATTACAAAAATGAGCAAATTCACTAGATGTTGGCCAATAAAATTAAAAATATTTTAGTGAATTTGCTCACTCTTTTGTAATTTTCAAGATACACAATTGAGGACCAGGCCTAATTTAGTACCTGTTATTTTAACGTGGAAAGAACTAATCCTATTGTTTAATACACAGAAAGCGATCAGATTAAGGACAGTGAATTATGTTACGTTAGAAATTGTAAATCGTTCTGTCAGTTGAATTATCTCGCTCGAAGTCATCCTAAGTGCGTACAAACTCACCAGCATGCTCCTCCGCGTCCCCGTTGTAAGCAGACTGCTCCGTCGCACCGTTGCTCTCAGGCACGTCATTCGTCGGCGCGGTCTCGCTCATTTTTCCCGACACGTTCCGCCGATGCTGGTCTTGCAACATAAAAATCACCCTGTCCTCCAGCCTCCAGGCTAATCGATCATACGTTCACACCGCGGGGAGGACTCAAACTTTTTACGCTCTCTGTAACAGCGCGAAATTATTTACATTTGTGTAAAAATAAATAAAACTGTTATCGATACGCGAGCACACGGAGTTAAAGAGCGATGCGTCGCAAGCCGCTGCTTCGCGTTGAATCGCGTAAAAAAATTTGCTTGTCACTCTCAGCCTGCCGCGAGGTTAAGTCGCGGGTAGCTGATCAGAGAAAACTTAACTGCCGACACCGCCGTTTGTCATCCGTGTCGCCGCCACTGTGCGCGCGCGACAAGCTTCGCCCGACCCGCAGTGTCGTCCACGCTTGTTTGTAAACACTCGATTATTTTTTTTTTTTGTATTCCTTTATTGTCCTCAACGGTCGGTTGATCGGCGGAAGGTAGGTTCCAAGAAGATCCGCACAAGACGTGTCATAGTCGAACAACCGTCAGTCGTGTTGAGAACAAGGACCAGGGCAAGACTAAAGTGATCACCCCAATTACATACCTACTGCGGTAAAGTGCGGTGCCACGCAGCGAAATATTTGAACGTTCGCCTTCACGTGCCACGAGGATTTTGGGCCGGCTTGTTCTCGCTGCTCGCGTGAGAGCAGAAATAAAGAGGAAAAAGAAGTTCCGTCACGTGTGTTTTGTTGGAAGAAATCGTTGAAAGTAAGTTTTTTTTTTTTTTTTTGTAAAGGCATCATACCAATCCTATAACAGAAGCCATCAGAATCTTAATTAAGAATTGTCTCCATCCGAGGCTTCTTTACAAGCGTTTAAAAGTTTTTTTTGTATGTACATTAATTATAAGCTCTCCCAATATATTACGTGTATAATTTAATAACACTGTTATATTACAGATGCCTGTCAGTACTAATCGAGATGTGCCGAGTTCGGAGAATATAGAGGATAAAGTACAGGAGTATATACATAATTTCATCATGTTGGAAGCAGAGCTGGAAACAATATTACGTTCATTAATACAGCTAGATGATATTGAATATGTCGACAAAACGATAGAGTGGAAGGAAATCAAATTTAATATGTCAGTGCAATTCGATGGATTTAATGAAGCGATAGGAATCATTAATTTTTATTTTATACATAATCCGGACTCTAAACTCGAAGAGCAGCATCAAGAAGTAGCATCGAAAGTACGCGAAAAGTTTCGAAAAATTATAGAAATATTAGGTGAGCTTTTGTTGCGTGAACGTTTTATAATTTAATTTAAATAATTGAATGATAATTTAATATTTAAATAATTTGTTTTAGTGCATTTGGAGCACAAAAAGGTTGTGGAAAAAGTTTCAAGAGGAACGCAAACGTCGTGTGAAATAGACAAACATTAATTTTTATTTTAAACTAAATTGCATTATTTTATTGTATCATGCACAGAAGATGATGAAGAAATACGTTTATATGTCACCTTTCGACTGAAGGAATAAATACACATAGTGATGTTATCGAAGAAATATGTTTGTATGTCACCTTTCGACTAAAGCAATAAAAACACATTTGCATTTATATTTGTATGTTGCAATCAATTTTGCTATATGGTTTTAATTCGTTCTTATTTATAAATTCTTGTAGTTCTCTTTTAAATTTAAGATTTTTCTTAAAAAAAAAAAAAATCTTGTACAACTGAAGATACATGCGATTAATTTTCAATTAATCTAATTTGTTTGCAAATTGTAAAAATCTTTCTCTTTTAAAAACATTTTTTAGTTTATTATATTCTATTTTTATTTCGTAAGCACGTGTCTACGATCCTGCGTTCTCAATTTATTAATTTCCTTCTTGGATTAATTGTTTCAATCTGTATAAAGAGCGCCGTTCAAATAAAGGATTCTAATTAATATAAGTAGATGTAACAAACTTTTTTTGTTCTAAGCTCTAAATTTTGAGATATGACTAGCATGCAGTGCACGCGGCGCGGTAACAATCTATAATTAATACATCTGCGCAAGCGTAGCTAAAGTTTCGTTTTATCACAAATTGTAGGTGAAGAATACATATAAATGCACGGACACGAACCACGTCCACGTGCCTAGCCAGCGTGTCTTGTCAGAGGCTCGAAAACTCCCGCCGATACGCGGAGAACATGTTGAGCAAAGAGGTGACACGGAATCCTAACCAGCGCGCGTATCGACAGAGACTTGTTGGTAAGGTGAAAAACTGCTGAGCAAAGAGGCACGAAATCCTGAACAGCGGGCCTCGTCAGAGGCTCGAAAACTCCCACCGATACGCGGAGAACACGTTGAGCGAAGAGGTGGCACGGAATCCTAACCAGCGCGCGTATCGATAGAGACTTGTTAGTAAGGTGAAAAACTGCTGAGCAAAGAGGCACGGAATCCTGGACAGCGGGCCTCGTCAGAAGCTCGAAAACTCCCGCCGATACGCGGAGAACACGTTGAACGAAGAGGTGGCACGGAATCCTGGACAGCGAGCCTCGTCAGAAGCTCGAAAACTCCCGCCGATACACGGAGAACATGTTGAGCGAAGAGGTGGCACGGAATCCTAACCAGCGCGCGTATTGACAGAGGTTTGTTGGTAAGGTGAAAAACTGCTGAGCAAAGAGGCACGGAATCCTGGACAGCGGGCCTCGTCAGAAGCTCGAAAACTCTCGCCGATACGCGGAGAACATGTTGAGCAAAGAGGTGGCACGGAATCCTACTAATCCTAGCCAGCGCGCCTCGATATAGAGGCTGAAAAACTCTCGCCGATACGCGAAAAACATGTTGAGCAAAGAGGTGGCACGGAATCCTAACCAGCGCGCGTATTGACAGAGGCTTGTCGGTAAGGCGGAAAGCTGTTGAACGAAGAGGTACGGAATCCCAAAGCATAGCCAAGACTACTCCCACTCTCATACGGCGCGTAAGCCCCGCCTCTCAGCGCAAAAGCAGCATATATGCGTTGGTGGGGGCAGTAGGCTCCCCCTCCATGGCGCGCTGGCGGCCTCCGCCCCGAATACCTCTGCCACCTACTTGTTCACTGTGCGCTCCTGATACTTATTATTCGATTTAAACGAAGTTTCTGACGCTGCGAAAGCCGGCTTTTGCTTAACCTCTCATCTCTATATGTACTTTTAACAATATTTATGATCCTTTGTGCATCTCCACAGATGCGTAATTAAATTTAAACTATTATTTAATTATAATGTAACATTAAAATTACTCCAAATTTAATTTATTATTTAATATTTATTGATTATATAGTATAATTACGTATAAGGCGCAGCAACTTATTTCTTACGATAAAACATAATAATAACACTGACAATCGTTCGTTAATTATTATGTAACAAAAATGTTCTAGAATATTTTATTAATAAAGTCTTTTCGAGAAATCATGCCTCCCGTCGGCGACTGTCTCCCGTCGGCATTTGGAGCTTCCTCTTTTTCGTTGATAATTATTAATTCTCTCTGCTAGCGTGTGTGGCGGCGCGATAACAATCTATAATTAATACATCTGCGCAAGCATATAGCTAAAGTTTCGCTTTCATCGCGTCAAATGTTGTCAAAAACAGTGTTGTTAAAACCAAATTTCCATTTATCCCTATCGACGTTATATAAAATCCCTACAATTCCCTACGCAAAAAAATGGAAGGGAAACTGTTACAAAATTCAAAAGAAAATAAAAATAATGATGAAAATAAAGAAAATATCACATATAAATGAATATAAATATATATTAGTTTCAAAAGAAAAACTGTATACATATATGTACGTACATATATAAATATATAAACATATATAATAAAAATATATAAGTGTATACATATATGTACGTATATAAATATATAAACATATATAATAAAAATATATAAGTGTATACATATATGTACGTATATAAATATATAAACATATATAATAAAAATATATAAGTGTATACATATATGTACGTATATAAATACATAAACATATATAATAAAAATATATAAGTTTTTATATATTAATATAAAACATAAGTTGGACTTATGGCACCACA